TCATACTCATTGAATCACTGAGTATACACACGCGGGTGTATTTTTGTGTTTCAAGCCAGGCAAGCGCTTGTGTCACTGCCATCACCTCCATCGTCATGCTGCTGGTTGTCATGGAGAAGGTGCCGTTGGCTTCTTTGACTGTTCTGCCCGCTGAGCGTGCTGTAAATGCCCATGCGCTTCTTCTTTGGCGTATAACGGATCCGTCTGTATAGATTATTGCATCTGCTTCGTCTGAATTTTCACCGATGAGAGCGTTGACCTCTGCATTAACAGCAGCAGGATTCTCTTCTCTACATCGCCTGTTGAGTGTGACAATACAGGAAAATGTACAAATAAACGCCTGAGGCACAGGTATCCATTCTGCACCAGGTATGATGTCGGTTAGGCTGCATATTTGCTTAATAACATCTTCTGCCCGACCTAGCCACGATTTCCCCCTCTTCAGTCTGTCGCCCTTTTCACTAAAAAGCGCTTGATGCAGTGGGTGTTTCTTATCAGCGCAAATTTTGAGATATGCCCGAGCCCTCCACATCCTGATCCTTTGGTTCATTGTTGGAAAGTCAAGTAGATACCTCATTGCTCCACAGGATGTGTCTCTAGTACATCCCAAAATAATGCGCATGGCTTCATTTTGCACCTTTTCGAGTCGTTCAATCTTGGTAGCACTGACAGTGAGGATGGCCAGAGCGTATTCAATGGGGGAAAGGACCAGACCGTAGAATAGAAGTATTAGTAGTCTTTGCTCAATATTGGAAGCAGCCATAATCCTCATTGCAGATAGACCTTTGCGTGCTTTTGTTATCACATGGTCAACGTGTTCCCTGAATGACAAGCTGCGATCGAACCTCATCCGAGAAACGTCATAACGTTGGTTCTGATCAATACATTATCACGCATTTTCACTTCTGGTAAGTCCGACTTGACAATGTGATTGTTCAAAGAGAACCATGACACTGATGCCTTCGAAGGATTGACATAGGCATTGGAACCATCACACCAGGCGGCAATTCGATCGAGTTCTTTGTGCATAGTGCTGGCGATCTCCTGTCTATCACGCCCTCGTCGATAAATCAAAATGTCATCAGCAAATGACAAAGTCCTTCCCTTTCCATTCAACTGCTGCTCAGTGATCATCACCGTGTAAACGTTGAATAAGACTGGTGATAGCGGTGATCCCTGTGGCAAGCCTGGACATATCGTTTGCAGTTCGGAGGACCAGCTACCACATCTTAGTACAATCTTTCTCTGGAACAGGACCGCAGCAATCCAGCGGATCAGAATAGGATTAACTTCTAGTTTAAGCAGTAATTGCATTAAATAATCGTATGGTACTTTATTGTAGGCATCTTCTAAGTCCAACACTGTCGCACATGTCTCTTCTTTAATCTGAAATCCCTCGTACACATCGTAGGCGAAAACTGCAGCATTGAACCATGTCTCTTTATTTAACCTGTACCCTCCAAGTGTTGGTGGGAACTTATCATGTAGTTCCAAGTAGGTGGTCAATCTTTGTGCGACAATTTTTTCCAAAAGTTTGCCAACAGTATTCTGCATCGAGATGATTCTGTAGCCGCAGATTTTCGAGTGGTCTTTATTAGGCTTTGGTAGTGGAAACAAATAACTATGGAGCCATTCCTCTTGTATCTGGCCACTCTGGATGCTGATATAGAATTCCTTTGCCACGCTTTTCAAATCAGCATTCGACATCATCAGCATGTCGTTGTATCGGATGCCGTCAGGGCCTGGAGCAGTGCTGCGCGATTTCTTGAGGCAAGTTCTTAAGGTATCTGCAGTGATTGTGAGATCAGTGCCTAACACAGTGTTCTCGCACAGCATCGACAGTTTCATCTTAACCCCTATTCTTGTAGCTTCGTCTTTTTGGTCAGTTTGCTCCAATTAGCGCGCCAGAAAGATTTTTCCTTTATCAGCATCAGTTCTCTGCCATATCAGGTCTGTACCCTGAAAATCAGGGATACCCCTAGGTCGTGCGGCGCCGTGCATGCTCCGTTGAAGGTGCCAGAATGTCACAAGAGATCCCTCGGAGCAAACGCTCTTGCAGATTTCGTTCCATTTCGCTGTCTTAGCTTTCTTAGCAATTACCTTGAAAGCCACTGTCTGCTTGTTGACCTCATCTTTCAGATTGATCAGGCGTTCAGAAAGTGACGGATCAATTTTCCTTGCCTTTTGCCATGCCTTGACAGCTTTCCTTTTTTCTAGCCACGCCATGTTGACTACTTCATTCCACCATGGTGGCTGGGCCCATCTCTCCCGCCGTCTGCGATCTACTCTTGTTTTACGTCGTCGGATTTTGCTAATGGCATCTTGCCCTGTACGGTCATATATAAAAGCAGGCACATTGATTACATGACCTTTGTTGTTGCTCTTCTCTACCAGGACGACGCAAGGAAAGTGATCACTGTCGTGATATCCCAGTGTGCTCCACCTGCATCCTGATGCAATGGAGGGAGACACTAGGGCCAGGTCAATTACGCTGTCATAATCCCCTTGTCGTGTTGCCATTCGGGTAACCTTTCCGTCGTTCAAGCATACTAGATTGGCAGACACTAGGGCATCCTCCAGGTCTTCCCCCTGTTTATTAGTGATAACATTGCCCCACTGGTGTCCTCTGGCGTTGAAATCTCCGCAGTAAATGACTTTCTTTTCCTCCGTCTGGAGCAAACTCTGCCATTTCGCTGAATCCACCTTTCCATTGCAGGCGTACACATTGACAATCACAAACTGAGCCGGGCCCATCACTCTGACTGCGTGTACTTGTAAGTCGTCATTATTCCTCTGCAGGTATCTATACAAAACAATTTCAAGATTGGGAACTCAGAAAGTACACAACAGACTCTGCAGGTATATATACAAAACAATTTCAATATTGGGGACTCAGAAAGTACACAACACAACAGACTCTGCAGGTATATATACAAAACAATTTCAAGATTGGGAACTCAGAAAGTACACAACACAACAGACTCCGCAGTTTTATGTACAAAACAATTTCAAGATTGGGGACTCAGAAAGTACACAACACAACAGACTCTGCAGGTATATATACAAAACAATTTCAAGATTGGGGACTCAGAAAGTACACAACACAACAGACTCTGCTGGTATATATACAAAACAATTTCAAGATTGGGGACTCAGAAAGTACACAACACTACATACTCTGCTGGTATATATACAAAACAATTTCAAGATTGGGGACTCAGAAAGTACACAACACAACAGACTCTGCAGGTATATATACAAAACAATTTCAAGATTGGGGACTCAGAAAGTACACAACACAACAGACTCTGCTGGTATATATACAAAACAATTTCAAGATTGGGGACTCAGAAAGTACACAACACTACAGACTCTGCTGGTATATATACAAAACAATTTCAAGATTGGGGACTCAGAAAGTACACAACACTACAGACTCTGGGGTTATTCGTTCATTATACTGTTGTGCTGTTATCTTGCAGTCTGTTCTTCCATTCCATTCTCTCCTGTGCAGTTAGTTCAGTGTCATGGATGGAATCCAGTCCAGCAGCTTTGGTCTCTCTCATCATCTTTCATCTTAGAGTTTCTTTTGGGTGTATTTGCCTCCTTAACTCTTACAGGATCATGAATTTTGACAGACTTGGCCCACATTATTTTCCCTTTACAAAAATGGCAGAAGGGGTGGTGTACAAAAAAGGCAATTGAGAATGTAATATATTTCTAATCCCTACAAAAGTGTATATTTTTCTTTAAAGAGAAATAAATTTACATTTTGAATATGATGATAAGTATATGTTTAATATTGTTATAGTTAGTAGGAAAAAAGAACAAATGTTAATCCTAAAAATTCTTAACTTACCGCGGTTTTGCAGCCACAAGAGTTGAATATCCAAATTTCAGAACAACACTCCAAAGTTTGTTCAATTTCCAAACAAATTCTAAAGTTATGATGTTTCTGGGTTAAGTTTAGCACTTACGGGCTTTTTGTTCTCACAGAGCGCTGAGCAAAATTTCAGGGGGGAAAATAGCAGAAAAATGAGCCATTAAACAAACACTATTTATTGTTTGTTTTTTTGTACAGTTGTATACAGACTGAAGCTGCAATGATTTCAGTGTAGCTTAGGTATAGTATACTACTGTCTATTTGTTTGGAGCACTTTCCTTCTCTTACACTCTAAATAGGGTAAAAATCATTATCATTATCAGAAATATAAACATCCGACTGAAACAATTTCTGAGTTTCAGCCGCAGAAAGATGCTTTTTGCAACCTGTACTTCTGTTTGAAATCCATGGCACTCGAAAACTTAGAAAATGCACAGTTCAACGCTAGCTATGAATCAGATCAATCTGCCCACGTGTCATGGAACACGGAATGTTTTTTACAGGAAAATGTTAGAGTAACTTTCCCTGAATTCTTTAATGGTAGTTACAAACATTAGAAGCAAATATGTAGCCATTCATGAAGCAATATGTATGGCACACATGATTGACGCTCACAGTGTTGTTTGAGCAAACTGGAACTTCTTAATCAACACTCGCAGCGTTGCTCGGGCCTTAAAGAGTTAATCCCTTTATTTCCCATTTGAATGCCTGTTTGATGATTCTCTGCTGGTTTATTCCCAGGATGTGCCCAATGTAGCGCCCTTTTCTCTGTCTTTGAACTGTTGATACTAACGGTTGCCCAGACATTTCTCTTATTTCTTTACTTCTTTTCAATTCATCCCATTTTATTTTCATTTTCCTCAAACATTTGTTTTCTGATGCATTTAAGTTTTGTTATACTCCTGCGGTGGTTCCCCAGCTTTCACTTGCGTATGTTGAAATTGAAAAAACATTAGAATTTCCCATAGGAAGAATCAGCAGATGTGCCTTGGAGTGGCTGCTGCATTGAAGGACTCCTGCCTGTGATAGTGTGCAGTGTGCAGTGACATCAGTTGTGATAGTACATCATAACTTGCATAAATTTCATTATTAATTTGATTTCACTTTTTTTTTCCAGATTAACAAAACTCATGCTTTAATACATACAGCTCTAAAAGGGTTGAGGTACTATCAGACGTATGATCGTTTCTTTCTGGGGTGAGTTGTCAGGGAGGATGTTTACAGATGAGTGTGATCATTATCATTATCATTGTTATGTGCATTGCCTGATGGTAATTTCTTCTTTTACTTCTCAGCATTCACTGGCTGTAAAATCTGGCAGAAAGCTCTGGTTGTTCGTCTACTTCTTGACTTTAGTGTTGTTCCTTCTTCTTCTTTATGTTCACCCTTTGTAAACTCCTGTGGAAAGTTAATGTTGGTCATCCATTTCTGGACTTTTAGATTTGTTCCAGAAGGTTTTTTTTTTTTTTTTTAGTTGATGGTATTTTGCCATGTCACCAACTCAAACCATCAAGCATCATTCTCTTACACTGCCTCTGTCTCTTCTACCACAGATCTTTCCTGCTGTCAAAATGTTTTCCTTTTCTCACTACATGACCAAAGAATACTGTTTGTCTTTTGTAATGTATTAAAATGGCATAATACTTTACTTTTATTCACTTTTTCCCATGCAGTCAGTCGTTAATTACTTTATGTGTGTGTTCTCCTACCCCATTTTTGCGTAAATACCAATAGACCTACTTACTGCCTTCCCACCCCTGCTCCTCTCCCAACAAGCATGTCATGGGAGGTGAAGAATTAGGGGTGTTTCCTTCGAAGTCGGAGTGTATCTGCCTGAGAGGCGAGGAACCAAAAATGTACACACAAATTAGCCACATCTGTAAAACAGATGTGCAAGCAAAACTCAAGTTCTGGAACAAGACCAAAGTCCAGAAGTGGATGAACAACCAGAATATTCCCCTGGAGTTTACACCCGGTGAACACTAAGAAGAATGTTGAATTTCGAATCGACATCAAAGCAGTCGGGACACTCCCATAAGTGCTCGGTCCCCATCTTCAGCCGCAAACAAAGAGTTTCAATTCCAAAGGCACCGGTAGCTGTCTGTGTCTCCATCTTGCCTTTCCCTTGAGTGTCGAGCATTGGCCAAATTCTTTGGTAACTCGAATGCTAAGAAGAAGATTTGTTAGTTACTTTGACTGTTGTTGCTTTTAGTTGTGTTTATGTTGAGTGTTTTTGTACTTTGTTGCTTGTTGTACGAATGCAAGAGGAGAAGCAAGACAAGACATACAGTCAAACTGCTACTGGTGGCAGGAGCACTCTCCTCTGGCAGCTGAAGATGAGGATGGAGTGTTTATGGAAATGTGTGTCTATAATGAGAATAGAATGCTTGTTGTAAGAGAGTTTGTAGAAAATAATTTGTAGTAAGGGTGTTTATAGTGAGAGTGTTTTTAGTGTTCTGTTGTGACGGCTTGCTTTTGGAGGGTTTGCTATCAGCAGGTTTGCGATGGGTGTTTTTGTAGTGAGAGAATTTGTTGTACACATTTTTCTAGTGCAATACTCATGTTAGTTACCAAGCCCTTATTTGGACACCACAGGGGAAAAGATCTCGTGGAAGACCAAGGGAAACCCTACGTAGAACTATCATCAGGGAAGGCTCGCTCATGGGCCACTCAAACATCCAAGACCTACAACGGATTGCAACGGACCGCCGTGCATGGAGAGTCATGACCTCTGCCCTATGTGCCGCACTCGACACAAGAGGAAAGACTAATGCTCATGTTTGTATTTCTTCAGTTTGAGCATCATTCTGGGCTTCCTGGGCTGGATGTCCTACATTCTCTGTCTAGTTGTCCTGGAGCACACGCCCGTGGGCCAGGCATACAGTGCTGTAACTGTTTCATCCAGGCAGGCAGACGGCAGTATCTATATCTTTACAGCCATTGCAGTCTCTGTCTTCCTGTTACTTTATGGTGAGCATTATTTTATAAGTTAGTCAGGTTATTTCATTATTTTATAGGGTAGTCCGATTATTTCATTATTTTATAGGGTAGTCTGATTATTTCATTATTTTATAGGGTAGTCCGATTATTTCATTATTTTATAGGGTGTCCGATTATTTCATTATTATTTAGGGTAGTCCGATTATTTCATTATTTTAAAGGGCAGTCAGATTATTTCATAGGGTGTCCGATTATTTCATTATTTTTTAGGGTAGTCCGATTATTTCATTATTTTATAGGGTAGTCCGATTATTTCATTATTTTATAGGGTAGTCCGATTATTTCATTATTTTATAGGGTAGTCCGATTATTTCATTATATTATAGGGTAGTCCGATTATTTCATTATTTTATAGGGTAGTCCAATTATTTCATTATTTTATAGGGTAGTCCGATTATTTCATAATTTTATAGGGTAGTCCGATTATTTCATTATTTTATAGGGTAGTCTGATTATTTCATTATTTTATAGGGTAGTCCGATTATTTCATTATTTTATAGGGTAGTCCGATTATTTCATTATTTTATAGGGTAGTCCGATTATTTCATTATTTTATAAGGTAGTCTGATTATTTCATTATTTTATACGGTAGTCCGATTATTTCATTATTTTATAGGGTAGTCTGATTATTTCATTATTTTTTAGGGTAGTCTGATTATTTCATTATTTTATAGGGTAGTCAGATTATTTCATTATTTTATAAGGTAGTCCGATTATTTCATTATTTTATATTGTAGTCCGATTATTTCATTATTTTATAGGGTAGTCCGATTATTTCATTATTTTATAGGATAGTCAGATTATTTCATTATTTTATAGGGTAGTCTGATTATTTCATTATTTTATAGGGTAGTCCGATTATTTCATTATTTTATAAGGTAGTCCGATTATTTATTATGGTTTAGATCAGTATTTCCCGACTGGGCACTAGCCCCCACCCCACCACTCCAAAGGTGCTGAGACGGTCCAGGGAGACGGTAGCGGCTTCGATATGATTTGGAGGGTGCTGGATGCGGTAGCAACCTCAGGTGCAGCTGGCAAACATTGAATGAAAAAAGACAGCGGTAGAGAGAGAAAGAGAGACCCCTTTGATTTACTGTTAAACCTTCCTCAGTGTAAAGTAGCAGATTCAAATTGCAGTGATCACTTAATTTTCAAAATAAGCAACAACAATATTTTTATAACCAATCTCTATATGTTTTAAATAAAGTTTTGTTAGGTATATTTCTAGATAATGAATAGACTCGAGAATTTTGTGACTACTAAGAAAATTGATAGAAAGGGGACAGGGTGAAAGCAAAGAGATAAATACCTTGATGGCTTGGCTGTGGGTATGGGATGGGATAGGATGCCTGTGTGTTATTTTTGCGCATGTAAAAAAATCCCTTGGCAGTTGGAAATCTTTAAGACGAGCTTAACTGCGCTGCCAGGGCAAAAATTGGAGTTAAAAATCTGCCCAGAGTATTTCAGGATCCTCGCCAGTGCTACAGAATTTCATGCACTGCACTGAGATTCTTCAGATTCAGGCTTTGGTTAGAAGTAGAACGGAGCACATGTGGGTTACTACCCTTGTGCCATGATGTTGATCTGTTGTATCAACTAACCAAACCAGTGGGGTGGGACAAGACCCCCACCTGATCCATGATTCTGCTGACCGTGTAGGATAGTCAGTGATGACTGCTTATGATATTAGGTGAGGCACATGGTGATGATGATGATGACATTTGCATGGAGAGGGGGTGCTGGGTAATTTTTTTTTAAACTGAAAAGGGGGCTGTGGGCCAAAACTGTTAAGGAAACACTAGTTAAGAAGATGTTTTAAATATATAGCTCACAGTTTGTGTGGGGTACTACTTGCTAAACTACAGTGTGTATGCTGTTGTATACACTGATATTTAAGCTGAACTGCTCAGTCTGGGAGGATCTTTAAATGCTGAACTGCATGGTTTGGGTGATATTTTAAATACAGATCTACACAGTTTGTGTAATTTTGACGTACTGAACTACAGGTGGGGTGGTTTTTTAAGTACTGAACTGCTCATGCGTAGTCTCGGCGGTATTTTAAGTACTAAACTACACAGTTTAGGTGGGCTTAAAGTACTTAACTACATGGTGTGGGTGGTGTTTTAAGTACTGAACTACATAGTTTGAGTGGTGTTTTAAGTACTGAACTATACAGTTTGGGTGTTGTTTTTGATGCTAAACTAAACAGTTTGGATGGTGTTTTGAATACAGAACTACATAGTTTGTGTGCTGTTTTAAATACAGAACTAAACAGTTTGGATGCTGTTTTAAATACAGAACTAAACAGTTTGGATGGTGTTTTAAATACAGAACTAAACAGTTTGGATGCTGTTTTAAATACAGAACTACACAGTTTGGATGGTGTTTTAAATACAGAACTACACAGTTTGGATGGTGTTTTAAATACAGAACTACACAGTTTGGATGGTGTTTTAAATACAGAACTACGCAGTTTGGATGGTGTTTTAAATACAGAACAACACAGTTTGGGTGCTGTTTTAATTATGTAACTGCACTGTTTGTATAGTAAAGTACTCAGCTACACAATTTGGGTGGTATTTTAAGTACAGAATCACACAGTTTGATTGATGTTTCAGGTACTGAACTACACAATTTCGGTGACATTTTAAATACTGAACCAGTCATTTGACTACTGATAAAAGGATATCACAACCTTGGAAGCCATGTTAGCGCAGTGTGATACGAAGGTCTTGGATTCAAATCTGAATCAACATTTTTTTATGATTGATCCAGGCCGACACAGCCTAATTGTGTACCAAGAATATGTCTTAGGAAGTAAATGCACCCAGCATAATCTTGACCATATCACCCGTAAGGTCTACAAAAATTGGTGCCAGCGGCACCATAAGGATTCTTGTCTTTACTACTGCTGTACTACTCAACTAATTGGGGACTTGGTGAAATTAGATATGTTGAGTTGGAAGGCACTGATATCACAGCCTAGCTTAAAACCACAGCACAACCGGCCAACAGCATTTTTATGGGCGGACGCAGAATAAGTACTGCTCTACTTTTTTACATATAAATGTGGATGAGAATGCACAAGTTTCTAACCATGTCTGGAAATGGTCAACTAATTTCTGTTTCAGTTCAGTCATTGCCACAGATGTACTACATTTACAGTTTGATGCCAGTAGCTCTGTGGTATAAAGCTTTTGCAGGGTAAGGATTTTCTTCACTTTCAAATGTGTTACAATGAGTAAGAGCAATTGTAGAAACAGTTCTGAGCCTGGCGCATTTCAAATTTATCTTTTTTTTTCTTTACACGTTCACCGGCTGTACACTCTGGCAGAAAGTCCTGGTTGTTTGTCCACTTCTGGATTTTAGTTTTGTTCCAGAACTTGGGTGTTACTTGCACATCTGTTTTACAGATTTGACCTCAGATTTGAAGGATACAACTCTGGTTAGACATTTGTGACTTGCCGTATATTCTTCTTCTTCTTCTTCTTCTTTCTTTCGTTTGAAATAAATTATCTATATCTGCAGTGTTGTCTCTTGTATGAACTTCACTGTCTTTTATAATTCACTCAGCGACCCGTAAAGTTTGACTTGCACCGATGTTTCTCTTGGCCAAAAGTTTTGCCTTGATATGTTGTATTTGGGACAGTCTTGGAGGACATGATCTGTTGTCTCAGGTGCCAATCCACATGTGCACATGGCTGATTCGCCCAATTTAAATTTTGTGTACATGTGGCTGCCATATATCGAAAAAGTAATTCAGGGGTGAGTTGAGGTTCTGGCAGAGATTCACCACTGAGGGAGGAGACTGTGGCGGACTTTTAATCAGGAGGCAGCTGGTACTATTAGCATGTAAACTCTTTATTGGCTACTGAAGAAGGGGACGGAGCACATGTGGGAATGTCCTGAGTGCAGTGATGTCTATTCTTGATTCATTCATTTATTCATGACTTGTCTGTTAGGATGGCAATGGGTCTATTCTTGATTTGTTTATTCATGACTTGTCTATTAGGAAGGCAATGGGTCTATTCTTGATTTGTTTATTCATGACTTGTCTGTTAGGAAGGCGGTGGGTCTATTCTCCCCCAGTGTCCCCCTCCCCTCCCCCCCCCCCCCCCTTATGGGACCCCAGAACCCACACAGAGAGGTTGGATTTAGAAAAGGAAGAGGGTGTACTACTTTGCCCTAAACACATCATCGAAATAGAAAACAGTGATCAATTGAACATGGCTTTCATAGATCAAGATAAATGTTTTAACAGAATAAAAAGAGATTTACTTTGGGAAGTCCTTAAAACTATGGAATAAAGGGAACAGTGCTAGATTGTGTAAGAGCCATCTATAAAGAGAATGAAAGATCTGTCCGAACAAGAGCTGGCCTCACAAATTGGTTCACAGTAAAAATCAGGAGTAAGACAAAAGTGTGCTCTATCACCTTTGCCTTTTATCATATACATGAATGGCATCAGCAACATAGACACAACACAGCTTTGTGTCGATGAACAAGAAGACTTCAGTGAGCTGCTCTTTGCTGATGACCCATGTCTATTTCACAGTAAAAGTAAAAAACTACAGGACTGCATAGATCAGCTACATGACAGCAGCAGACTCAAACATCTCATGGAAATCATCATTGAAATCATAGAATTCATGAGTATTGGCAGAGACCAAACGGACATCGAGACAAAGATAAAAGACCAAAGTTTGAAACAAGTGCAAGAGTTTAAATAATTAGGGAACATCTTGACACACATTTAATGTTAGTCTAGACAGAGAGATAAAAATAAGAATCCAACAAGCCAAAATTGTTACATAACAGCTTAGCACTGTCTTGCTACACGCTTCTATTCCAACAGAGATTACAACAACAACAAAGAAAGAAAGAAATAAACTATAAATGTAGTCATTATTCCAATTGAACATGTCACAAACTTTGAATATCTAGGCTCTATAATAAACAGCAGTGGAGACTGTTTGACAGAAATTAAAAGGAGAATGGCCATAGCAGTGCAAAGATTGAACAGCCTTTGGTTAAGCACCAGCAGGGAGATCAAAATTAGAATTTTGAGAGCATACATCTTTATTGTGGCTGCATACGGATGTGAGTCGTGGACTATCTCTCAGTCCTTAAGAAAGAGAATAATGGCTTTTGAGCTGAAATGCTATAGAAAGATTCTCAGAATATCTTGGACAAAGAAGATGAGAAATATTGACATCTTAAAAGATCTGAACATCAAGGAAGATTGGCTAATAAACAGCATCCTTTCTCGAAAACTGAAATATTTTGGTCATATCAAGCGCCATGACGGATTGGAAAAAAATTATAGCAGAAGGCAAGAGACGACCAACACGAAGATGGGCACAGGATATAAGTGACTCCTTGAGTGTGAAAGTTCATGATGGGGGAGAACTGGTGAGAGACCGAGTTTCTTTCAGGCAGACTGTGATGAGAGTGATGTTCTGCAAAGGACCTGCTATATGATCATTCCAATTTTAGATTACAAGTGACTTTAGGTTACAAGTGTCAGACTTGGACATTAAGTAAAGAACGTGAAAGGAAACTAACCACCCGTAAAATTAAATGTTTGAAAAATGCCAAAACAGATTCAGAAGAGATTGCGGGATAAATTATAATTCCTCCTGGCCTTTGCCTTTGTAAAAGGAGATATAATTATTTTCTCTATTGGACCCATCTTCTGGGAAATGTGTTTCTTCAAGGTCAACAATATTTATGTCAAGTCTGTTGAGTTCAAGGTCAGTGACTGCCATTTTCCCCCACATTATTCAAATTTGTCTTTGGTCTGTGGAAAACTTGGTCCTGACATTGCATGTTGCAAGCCCAAGTGTTGTTTCTTTTTGATTTCATGGTACCTGGATTTAATCCCAGCTCCAAGCACACGGGCTGTGAGAGATCAACACCTTATTGCCTTGGGACTGTCCAGCTTGAGGCGAGCTGTAGCCTATCATTGACATTAGAAAATGTCCGCCATTGTCAGAGGCAACGCCTGGCGCCTTTGTCTACGCTAATTGACAAGGGCTTGTACCCTGTACTGGGGCTTCTTGATTTGTTTCCATTACCAGTTAAGGCCAAGGATAAAGTATTTTTCTCCATATCACAAAGTCTGGGCAGTATTGTAGAGACTGGATGTTGCATACGTACATAGGCACACACAGACACATTCATACATACATACATACATACATACATACATACATACATACATACATACATACATACATACATACATACATACATACATACATACATACATACATACATACATACATACATACACACTCACATACACACTCACATACACACTCACATACACACGCACATACACACTCACATACATACACACACACTCACATACATACACACGCACTCACATACATACACACACACACATACATACATACACACACACACATACATACATACACACACACATACACACATACACACATACATAACACACATACATACCTATATATTGTACATGCTTGTGTGTGCATCTAAATTTGCTTTTTAAATCTCTAATCAGGAGAAAATTGCTGTATCATGCAGTCAAATCTGTGTTTTCACACGGAACATTCCTTGGATTTGTCCTCTCTCTTCTGTTTTGTGTTGCTGGACTGGAGCTTTTGGTGAGTAACTTGGTTTATCCCACTGACTACCAAGCCTTTTAACTCTTGCACTTTCCCAGATACCACACATTTTAGTGTGCACTAAAAATGCCATAGCTTCACAACTATTTAACATACACTTATCATATTTTCGATTTTAAATTGCCAACGAATTTTTTACATGTGCAACAACACTAGATTCATTGAGAAACAGCAGATCAAGTGGTTTGGTCATCTCTTTAGAATGCAGCAAGATCAATATACTGTCACAAGCACTACATCTCAGAAGATCAGCTACAAGAGGACGGCCACGGAAAATAGGGATCGACAACATTAAAGACACTCTACGCCTTCACGGCATGACAATAGCCAGTGGCAGCCGACATGCACTGGATCGCAAATTATTCCATCCCACGGAGCTTAATGGTAGAAGTGGTTTATGTCGATGATGATGATGAACAACACACTCGGGCATCCAATTTTACTACCCAGAGACATGGGGAAATTACTAGAGGTCCACATGAAAAAATAACAGCCTCCACCTGAGCCTGAACCCAGCACCTCCAGCACTTGAGGCAGATGCCATACCTCGAGACCACGTAGCCGTACCACCTAGGAAAATGGCCCTTTATAGGGGAATAGTTACTTTGATGTCAGGAATGGATAGCTGGGGAAGCAGAGGTATTGGTGCAGTGGCTGATCAATCAAACTTCAAGCCCTGATGGCCTTGTTTATATAAAGATGGATCTTTAGTGAGAGATGAGTTATCATCATCATGTGCCCTGCCAACTGGCATAGCACTCATGCGTCTCCACAGATCATGATCCCTGTTTGCCTGGAACAGCGGTCTTGATGATATCCCTCCATGCCATCGTTTCAGTCCATCCAGCATCATCTTTGGTGGTCTGCCTCTACCCCTTTTGCCACTGATCTTTTAAGTTGTCACGATGTTCTCCAATGTCTCTTTTCTCATTGTTTGTCTCTTTCTTATTGTTGTATATATAGAGATCTACTTTCATTAGCTTCTTTCAAGCAAGCATTGTTAGTTACTCTAGCCATCCAAGGTATTCGTAACATTTGTCTCAGAAACCACATCTCTGTTGCTTCCAAGTTCTTCCTTATTTGTTCACTGACATTCCAAGATTTGCTGCCATACAGCAGAACAGGTTCTGTGTAACATTTTAGCACCCTCTTTCTGACATTTAATGAGAGCGATTTATTGCATAAGATATTTTGAGAGATGTGTGGACACTTTAAATTAAAAAAAAATTTTAATCTATTGTAAAGAGAATGTGGCCAAGGCGGTATAGGATCAAATGAACAAGGCAGCAAAACAAGGCTTTCAGATCTGGATTGCTGATTCAACTGGGAGTGATCAGATGGTTTTGACAATTTTCAGGACACAGGAAAAAGGAGAAGCAAACTTGTAATGAGGTTGTAATTAACACCATCATTATGGGGACTCTTTGTTGACTGCTGAAGAAAGGGACACAGCACATATGTGAAAAGCACATAGTACAGTACAGGGGGTCTGTGGCAAAGTGGTCGAGCCATTTGCCTTACGCTCTGAAGGTCATGGGTTGGTTCCACAGCTGCGCTCTTTAGTTTACAAGTGCAGTTTTTACGGAGATCCCTGAGATCATCGCCAGAGCTATAGAGTTTTGTTGTGTTCAACTCTCTCAGCAGGCAGCTAGCCGTGCTGGGGAGAGAGACTGAGTCATGTGGGAGAAAACTTGGTACGCTAAAGTCGCTAATCAACTGTAACCTCTAACCTTTAAGCATTTAGTTCAATGATGTTAGTTCTTGATCATTTCTTCACGCAGCCTTTGGTCTAATTTTCCTAATTAATGAATCCTAGCCTGATGTTTATTAACACTGTCTTTGACATATTTATTCATTCTTGTGCCAGATGTCATAAAATAACCTAACTGCTAACATCTTTTACTTACAGATTCAAAGTTTCTACCATCGTGAACTGATTTCGTTCATTTTGCTGGCTTTGTCTGCCTGGCCACTGACTTCAGTCTTGTTACATCACAGCACTAGAGCTTCAGCGCCCACTTCCCTTGGGTGGTCTCTCACCTGTCTGCTGGTTGCTGTGTTTCCACTTCTGCCAGTGGTTGGCAAGGAAACACAGTACTTTCTAGTGTAAGTTATACTGTACTTTCTAGTGTAGGTTATACAGTACTTTCTAGTGTAAGTTATAAAGTACTTTCTAGTGTAAGTTATACAGTACTTTCTAGTGTAAGTTATACTGTACTTTCTAGTGTAGGTTATACAATACTTTCTAGTGTAAGTTATAAAGTACTTTCTAGTGTAAGTTATACTGTACTTTCTAGTGTAAGTTATACTGTACTTTCTAGTGTAGGTTATACAATACTTTCTAGTGTAAGTTATAAAGTACTTTCTAGTGTGTGTTGTACAGTACTTTCTAGTGTAAGTTATACTGTACTTTCTAGTGTAGGTTATACAGTACTTTCTAGTGTAGGTTATACAGTACTTTCAAGTGTTATACAGTACTTTCTAGTTTAAGTTATACAGTACACAGTTTTTTATCATTTAAGTTACACAGTACTTTCTAGTGTAATTGTACAGTACTTTCTAGTGTGTGTTGTACAGTACTTTCTAGTGTAGGTTGTACAGTACTTTCTAGTTTAAGTTATACAGTACTTTCTAGTGTAGGTTATACAGTACTTTCTAGTGTGGGTTATACAGTACTTTCTAGTGTCGGTTATACAGTACTTTATAGTGTAGGTTATACAGTACTTTCTAGTGTAGGTTATACAGTACTTTCTAGTTTAAGTTATACAGTACACAGTTTTTTATCATTTAAGTTACACAGTACTTTCTAGTGTAAGTTGTACAGTATATTCTAGAGTAAGTTATACATTACTTTCTTGTGTGTGTTGTACAGTACTTTCTAGTGTAGGTTATACAGTACTTTCTAGTGTAAGTTATACAGTACTTTCTAGTGTGTGTTGTACAGTACTTTCTAGTGAAAGTTACACAGTACTTTCTAGTGTAGGTTATACAGTACTTTCTAGTGTAAGTTATACAGTACTTTCTAGTGTGTGTTGTACAGTACTTTCTAGTGTAAGTTATACTGTACTTTCTAGAGTAGGTTATACAGTACTTTCTAGTGTAGGTTATAAAGTACTTTCTAGTGTAGGTTATAAAGTACTTTCTAGTGTAGGTTATACAGTACTTTCTAGTGTGTGTTATACAGTACTTTCTAGTGTAGGTTATACAGTACTTTCTAGTGTAGATTATACAGTACTTTCTAGTGTAGGTTATACAGTACTTTCTAGTGTCGGTTATACAGTACTTTCTAGTGTAGGTTATACAGTACTTTCTAGTGTAGGTTATACAGTACTTTCTAATGTAGGTTATACAGTGCTTTCTAGTGTAAGTTATACAGTACTTTCTAGTGTAGGTTATACAGTACTTTCTAGTGTTATACAGTACTTTCTAGTTTAAGTTATACAGTACACAGTTTTTTATCATTTAAGTTACACAGTACTTTCTAGTGTAAGTTGTACAGTACTTTCTAGAGTAAGTTATAAATTACTTTCTTGTGTGTGTTGTACAGTACTTTCTATGTAAGTTCTACATTGCTTTTAGGTTAAGTTCTATAGTGCTTTCTAGAATAAGTTTTACAGTAGTTTTTAGTTTACTTTATACAGTACTTTCTAGTGTAGGTTATGCAGTACTTTCTAGTGTAGGTTATACAGTACTTTATAGTGTAAATTATACAGTACTGTCTAGTGTAGGTTATGCAGTACTTTCTAGTGTAAGTTATACAGTACTTTCTAGTTTAGGTTATACAGTACTTACTAGTGTAAGTTATACAGTACTGTCTAGTACAGATCAATGTCGAATTAGTACTACAGTATAGAACAACTGATTGTAAAATATGTGCTGTTGTCTAGAAAAGCTCAGTACACAACATGCATTATTGAAGGAAATAAACATGAGAAGACAAGATATGTCGGTCACATAAAATGATGAAACAATCTACTGAAACTGTATTGTTCAAACAAAAAACAAAATGCATAGTTAACTGAGGTGCATTTTTATTAATTAATGGGAAAGCCTGTACACCTAAAAACTATAGATATAAGTAAAAAAGTAAAGGACCCTTTTCCACGCCTTTAGGCGTATAGGGCATATAGGGCTAAACCTATATTTTTATAGACCAACGGCACAAGATGGGTGATGTGGTCAGCATCACGCCGGCCACCTCTACATCCCGGGACTGCACCCGGTACCCACTCAAGGCTGGGTCGACCTGGGAGCCAAGGTCATTTTTGAACAAAAGTCCGGCTCCGCCAGGAAGCGAACCCATGACCTTCTGATCCGCGGCGCACGTCTAGCCGCTCCACCACGGCGACTCCCAAAACTATAGATGGCCTAGATGCAAAAGAACTGTCAATTGATTGGTTGAACTCTAAGGTATTTTTATGTACAATTTGAGCAGTTTCATTCATTAAATTACAAAGATTTGTAATGTCAAAATTATGAAGACAAAAAAATTTCAGTACATAACTGTGTTTGATATTATGGAGGGAAAGAGTAAGGGTACAAGAGGGTCAAAGTTCAGCTGCTGGGTATCCCCGTCTGGTTTCCTGATCTTCATTTTGGAGAGCAAAGAACAAACACACTGCCACCCTAACAAGCATGTCATAGGAGGCAACTAATTAGGGATGTTTCCTCTAATGTCAGAGTGCATCTGCCTGAGTTGTTAGGAACCAACAGTCTGCATACAAATAAGTCAGATCTGTAAAATGGATGTGCATGCAAAACTCAGGTTCTAGATCCAGTCCAAAGTCCAGGAATGGACAAACAACCAGAACTTTCTGGTGGAATTTACAGTTGGAGAACACTCAGAAAAAGAAGAAGAAATAAGTAGTGTAGAACATCAGAGACTTCTGGAAAACGTTATCTAAAATGTCACTACCACTGCTGTCACCTTGATGATGGGTTTGGATGATGATACTATGTAAAAAACACACTTTCACATGCCACTGGGACTCTTGTGCTAGGCTTACGCCATAAACCAAATAGCACTCAACGGGTGATAAAACTGTGGAGTCATTTAGATACTGCCAGGTCTGTACTGAATTGTTTTACTAATCAAACTTTCATTTCCTGTCCTTTTTCTGTTTAAAAAAATGTTTTGTTTCGGTTTTTTCATTTCAGGATTTCCAGTGGAATAACAGCACTCGTAATTGGTGCTGTAATATGTTCCAGGTGAGGTTTTTAGTTCTTCCAGCTTTAATTTTTGCAGGAAATGATTTGGGACTGAATGTTTTTAATTTATGGCAAAAGATTAATGATTAATTTATTACCATGATTTTTTAAATTGCATTTCAAAACTATTATATATAAGGAATATATAAGATTAAAAAATCCCACAAAAATAACATGATGTAAAATGTTCAATGAAACTTATTCCATCATGAACTCTCAAACATATCAGCGCTCAAAATACTGTCTTACAAGTTTTTTTTTTTTTTTGAGTTTTAAAAATAGAAAGATAGAAGCCAGAGTACAGAGGGTAAATGCTGTCATCTCTTAAGTTAGCCCCACTGCCTATACATCCAAATTTCTCCCTTCCAGCAAAACAGCACATGATCAAAAGCATCTCTGACCTTAATTTATGTTATCAGTGCCAAACATGGACAAGGAATAGGGCACTAGAACAGAAAATAACTACATGTAAAATGGCTGTCTCTGCAAGGTTACTAACAACATGAGAAGAGACAGGGTTACAAATACCAGTATTAGAGAGAAAGTTGGAATAAGACCATGTCGGAATTATACTGAAAGCAAAGAAGGAAATGGTTTGGCCATCTAGTGAGAATGCCGCCAGACCAAACTGCATATGAGACTTTTTACAGCAGAACGTCTGGGAGGAAGACCAAGAAAGAGATGGATAAATGGTGTAGATGAAACCTGCCAAAAGAATAAGAAATGCATCACCAAAGCCATCCAAGAAGTGCAAGACAAATCCAGAAAACCACAACACTGGGCTACAACCTGATCTAAAAGAGACCACAAAAGAAGAAGAAGAGGAAAGATATTGTCGATGGAAATGCGGCCGACAATGCACAGTTTACAGAATACTTTATTTAATCACGGTAACGTAGCTGTTATTGCACTTTCATGTTATAACTGTGATCAGGGTTCCTCTTCTTCTTCATTGTCACATTCACCGTCTGTAAAACTCAGGAAGAAAGTTCTCATTGTACACTGATTGTAGTCTTGTTCCAGAACTTGAATTGTACTGATCTTGGTAATTGTATACAGATTGATTTGATTTGATTCAAGAACCGGCATCACAGCACATGGGGCATTCCCATAAGCACTCCGTCCCCATCTTCAGCAGCCAGCGAAGAGTTCCGATACTAATGGTGCCAGTAGCATTCTGATTAAACATCTGTCTTGTCTTTCCTCTGAGCCTCGAGCATCTGCCAGAACCTCTCGTCACTCCTCGCTGCATCAATCTCACCAGACTGTGGTGATCCATCTGCTCCTCCGAAACTCTCCCACAAGGCACTAACCACGTCTGCCTTATCATGTATACAAATTGTTGATTCCTTGCCTTCAAGGCAGATGCATTCCAACTTTGAAGGAAACATCTGTAGTTAATCAACTTCTACAATATGCTTGGTGGGGGGGGGGGGGGGGGGGGGCTGAAATATGTCACCTGAAACCACATTGGGAAGCCAAGATTCAATATTCAGCAGAGGCAGGATTTCTTCTTCTTCTTCTCGTTCACCAGCTGTAAACTCTGGTGGAAAGTTCTGGTTGTTCATCCACTTCTGGACGGCAGTCCTGTTCCAGAACCTGAGTGTTGCTTGTGCATCCGTTTGACAGATCTGACTCATTTGTATGCAGACTGCTGGTTCCTTGCCTCTCAGGCAGATGCACTTCGACTTCGAAAAAAGCTCCCAATTAGTCGACTCTTACGACACGCTTTTGGGCAGGCAGTGGGTCTATTCTTGTTTTCCCTATAATAGGGCCACGGAACCCACACGGGGTAGAGGCAGGATTGTTTTCCTCACCTGTAAGACTCAATCTCAGCCTAGTCTTATAAAAATGAGTAGTAGTAAAAAAAAAATAAAAAAACAACAATCATAAAGATTCCTTTTTACGCCTTTAGGCACATTGGGCATATAGGAAGAGTACCCATATTTTTACAGACCATTCACTAGGTGGGTAATGTGGTCAGCATTACGCCGGCCATCTTTTTTCCCCAGGACATACATCCTTGTACCAATTTTAGGCCGGGTCGACCTGCCACGCTCCATACCATGGTATAAATCCACACAGCCAGCAGTGGGTTTCGATCATGGTACGTTGGAATTGTGAGTCGGACTCTCAACACCTAAGCCATTGATGCCGCCATGAATAGTAGACAATTTTAATGATTTTCAGGGAGAAGGAGAGGCTACCTGTGGGGTAACAATTGTAGTTGTACATGATTTAGGTATTGCAGAGTTATTACTAGCACTCTAGCACTTTTAAGTATACTTAAGGATTACTAGTGAAAGGTAATGTAATGGAAAGTAATATATTTGTAGTTATACTGCTGGTAATCCTGCCAGCCTGTTACCAGGGCCTATAGGGGCAGCAACAACAACAACAACAAAAAACATCTGTCATAAAAGACAACTAAGGAAGGTTGGGTATAATGTCAGATGATGATAATATGTGAACAAACCACTGTGTTACTGCAGTGTCGCGTGCGAATGTGCACCAGAACGCACCAGTACGGAGTGAGCAAATAAGACGTCAAAACAATACGTAACGTTGTTATGATAATATTGTTGTCTGAGCAGTTGATGTTTATAGTCCGAAGGAGACGGACGTGGGAATCCCTGAGGACGCTTTACCCCGGGATCCCACGGAAGCAAACGTTATATAAAGTTGGATCCTTGAGGACGTTTTACCCCGGGACTCCAAGACCTCAGCAGGAAGCTGGTGAGCACTACATTCTCGGCAGTATGCCGGTATACTTTCATTGCTTAATTCGGACTTGTCCGAGGAGAAAGTAAATCGTCTGGATCTCAAGGTCGGACTGCGACCTATCGTAAGGACATAACCGTCCACGGATGTACGAGTGAGCTTTGGTTGAACGAGTTGATTATTGATTGCATATGTATTTCTCCTTGTATTGCTGATCGTATATATCAATACAACCATTGGAACTTAACGCATAGCGTTCGAGCTCTACATTCTGAAAGCATTGAAGTAACTACTGTTTTACCCCTACTTGGCCTATTTCATCTTGGTACCACACACATCAGCTTGAAGCGCCTCAGCACGTCCCAATGAAGGACCGCACGTATCATGCAGCTCACATCATTTATGTCTGTGTGCACTCTACCATCATGTGTTTGTGTGCACTCTACCATCATGTGTTTGTGTGCACTCTACCATCATGTGTTTGTGTGCACTCTACCATCATGTGTTTGTGTGCACTCTACCATCATGTGTCTGTGTGCACTCTACCATCATGTGTCTGTGTGCACTCTACCATCATGTGTCTGTGTGCACTCTACCATCATGTGTTTGTGTGCACTCTACCATCATGTGTTTGTGTGCACTCTACCATCATGTGTCTGTGTGCACTCTACCATCATGTGTCTGTGTGCACTCTACCATCATGTGTCTGTGTGCACTCTACCATCATGTGTCTGTGTGCACTCTGCCATCATGTGTCTGTGTGCACTCTACCATCATGCCTGCACATACACTTGTCATTTTGGTCACATTTAAAATATAATTTTCTGTTCTTTTTTTCTTGATGTGGTTAATAATAGGTTCAGTAAAGCCAGCACAGTTTTCTCTAGAAATGTGTGGATTTTACAGGTAACTTTCTTTTATAGCATCAACTTCATTATAAATTAAAAACATTATGACAATACACATGTGAAGGACTCTTTCCCTTGGGCATATACGGCTAGACCTATATTTTATAGACCAATCGGCACTTGATAGCTAATGTAGTCAACATAATGCCGACTGCCTTCACTTCACAGGACTTAACCCTGTATCCATTTAAGGCTGGGTGTCAGTGTGCATTTTTTTTAAAAGTCTGACTCCCTTTGGAATTGAACCTACGACCTTCAGATCCATAGGGGAGTATTTAGGCGCTACACCAGGACTGAACATGTAGCCATCTCTTTAAATAACGGTACTCTCATCAGCTGGATGGGCTGAAACGATGGCATGGAGGAAGATCATCAAGAGAGCTGTTCCAGGCAACCAGGGATCGTGATCTGTGGAGATGCATGAGACGCCAGTTGGCAGGGCACATGATGATGATGAGGATGACTCTCATCAGTCTCCACCTTTTGCCAGTTTACCAGCCTCATGCATTATCCTGCCTTTGTTGACCCCTTTCTGTCCTTCCAGAGGATAGTGATGTATTGTGCTTTATGGTGACATAGGAGCTACAGTCCATGGTGCTGGTGAGTTGAGTCAAGAATTGACATCACAGCACTCGTAGCATTCCCATGTGTGCTCCGTCCTCATCGGCAGCAGCCAGCGCAGAGTTCCAGTACTGATGGTACCGGTAACAATGTGTCTGTCGTGCCTTTCCTCTGAGTGTAGTGAGCCGGCCAGACTCTCTGGTTACACCCAGGTGCCTCATTCTCTCTAGACCATAAGGCTGGTGAGTGACCAGCAAGACCGGCTCACATTAAGAAAATGTTTTTCACAAAAATTACATGGAGTTTTGAGACCATTGTTGCCCTCTCATCCTTTCTGCAGTCATTTCTCCCTTCATTCTCATTCCCTTCCTGATGTGCCCCTTCCACACAACACGGTCCACTGCATTTTGTTCCCATGAGTCCACCTCAGTACCTGTATCATTCATGCCCTGCCTGCATATCTTTATATCCTAGTAGAGTTCAGTTTCCACATTTTCTACCGTTTTTTAATTCACTATCGAGGATGTCCTTCTTATGTGTTAACAAAAAACAAAAAGCTAGTTAGTTGCATATCCTTTACGGGACGTTGCAGAACCAACCCAATCATTTTTTGGCTGTTGTAGTTTTTCTAGGCAGTTTTTACGTTCAGTAGTTCGCTAACCCTTCTGAATGGTCAGCTCTCGGTAACACTGTCGAAACCACTGCAAAACAAACCGTCGGCATCTGAGATCAAACCCCGCCTTCCCGGCATTACGAAGCGCGTTCACAACGCCAAAGCCACAGATGCAGACTATGTGTTAACAGTGATGTGAGCAAGATTTAGATGGATACATGCAGTACATTGGATCATTGGATGTTCTTCTGCCGCTGCCCTTTAAAAATACAGTTGGCTTGTTATGGTTTGCAGCTAGACTTCTTCTTTTAGCTCAACACATTTAATTTCAGCAAACCTTTAATGAGTGGACTTTTATGACATGCTTGTTTAGAGTCAGTGGGTCTGTTCTTTTGTTTTCCTCTAAATTGGGGTCCCTGAGCCCATGTTGTTTGTTTGTTTGTTTGTTTTAGTATCAAGAAGCCATGAGTTGTTAACCCTTAGGCTCGGTATTATGGATATCGCAACCTTTCGGCCTTGATTCCATTGTAAATACCGTAAATCTGGGAGAAATGTGGCTTTTCTGCCTACCCCCGGGAGTGAACCCGGACCACAAGGAGTTCGTCACCTTCTCACCGCGCAATCCGGTTTAGCCAACTACGCTAGAGAGCCGGGCCCCTGAACCCATACTTGGACTGTACATTTAATTTTTATTTTAATATTTGTTTCAGCTTTGAAAAACAGTTGTGCTGTATGTGTTATGTTAAATACGGTATTTATGACCAGGCAGTCCATGTTAAACTACTGCACATGTGAACACAACTAGGCAGCTCAGAACAGGCACCCAATACAACTGGGCAATTCAGAAGAGGCACCCAGTTACATCCACTACAATTAAGTTCAAAAATAGATATGGAAAAAAACAAAATAATGTAAGTTCAGTCCAGGAGATCACTGAGTATTCTTTTGTCTGTGTTTTTTTGTTTTTTTTTGTAAATGAAGGACAGGTCATTAGAGGCTTAAATGTCACCTGTTACACTATAAAAATTACTTACATAGGAATATATCCAGCTAGTGGGAGTAAGTAGCAGAACAAGTCTGGACAAGTTGGAACAGAAAAATGTGGGAACTTGCCGGCTAAATCAAGGAAAAATATAATGATAAAAGACACCACCTGCAATAAACTAAGAAGTTGGAGTTTTTGTTTGAGACTCTTTGCCGTAATTATGGTCATGACTGTCTTCTTCTTCTTTTTTTCTCTACTCCTGAAATGCCTCGCGGCATCAGGATAGAAAGAGATCTCTAGAACGGGCCCTTCTGTTCGCTTGGTATATAGTACTTTTAAGTGTCTCTGATATTTATGCCGTCCATATTCTGCGTGGTCGACCTCTGGGTCTGTTACCACTGTATCTGAATGACTTTGCTCTCTGTGGTGCCCTGTCTGCTGCCAGTCTTGTTATATGGCCAAACCATTTGATTTGTTGTCTACCTATAAAGTTCAGTATTGTTTCTGTGCCAGTTCTCCTCCTGATATCATTATTCCTAAGTCGATTTTTCCTTGTTACACCTAGCATAGTACATAAACATTTCATTTCTGTCGTGACTATTTTCCTTCTGTTCTCTAAAAACAGTGTCCCTGTTTGACATTGATAGCAGAGCATTGGTAAGAATATTGTGTTAAACAGTGTTCTTTTAGTGTTCATATTCACATGCTTGCATTTGAAAATTAGTGCCATTTGGCACCATAGTCATGACTGTGTGTTTATTTTTTTTTTTTTTTTTTGAGTGAATCTGTTTTTTTTTCCTGTGTTCTAGCTGTTTCTTCTTGCTGGATCTGTTATGACGGTTTATGTCACATCCTGTAGCATTGCATCCAGGCATGGTCTCCCACTGGTTTGCCAGATTTTTAGCTGGGCTACTTTAGGTAAGAGTTGATTTACTTAATTTCTATCTGTAAATCTGTGTACCTCATCTATCTATCTACCTACCGGCCAACCTAAATCCACCCATCCGTCAATCTGTTTGTACCTGTATTATTTATGTCCCGTTTGTACACATCTGTACATCTTAGTAGAGGCTAACTTCGACATCTACTCGTGTATATAAATAATTATATAGGATGTCCACATCTCTGTCTTTTCCAAGATCTTGGTACGTCATACAAAGAGCACATCACAAACGATGAAGTTCACCAAATCATTACTCAACACACAGCAACTATGAATCCTTTTTCTTATTAACAACAGTGAGAAGACCCAAAATGGTGGAAACATAAAATAATTATTAGCTTTCCAAAACCTTACCTCAGAACTCATTACAAGGAAGGAGAAGAGAAGGCAGAGTGAGAGTTTGATCCAAAATATGGCCGACTGGATAGATATCAAACACAACAATACCAGGTTCAACACACCTGATCACCAGAAATAAAAAAGACCTGATCAAACTGGTGTCCCAGTGACCCACATTGTTATACTGGGTTGCCATTTGTTATCATGATTTTATACTCACTCACTCCTCTTCTTCTTTTTAGCGTTCACCAGCTGTAAATTCCGACAGAATATTCTGGTTGTTTGTCCATTTCTGGTGATTGGTCTTATTCCAAAACCTGAGTTTCGCATGCACATCCATTTTACAGGTCTGGTTCATTTGTTAGCAGACTGTTAGTTCCTCCTCTTGAACAGATGCACTCTGCCTTTGAAGGAAACTTCCTTAATTACTTGTCTTGTACAGTGTATTTGTTAGGAAGGCAGTGGCTTCCCCCCCCCCCCCCCCTCCACATCTAAAAGGGGTCCAAGAACCCACACGGGGAACTCACCTAGTGCCTAGTAATGTTGGTCGTGACTCCGCTGGACGTCTTGAGTTTTGACGCTTAAGTCTGATGCTTTGGGGTTTCTTCTTTGGTTACTGGGAAACAAAGTGTTGGGAAATGAGCAGGCAGCTAGACTGGCTGGCTCTTCACCACTTGGTGGTGAATTGATATTTGATAAGTTAGATATTGTGAGGACCCTTTGGGAACCGTTGAACAGTGGGGATAGATCATTACTGTCTATGGAGAATGGCAAGCGAGGAGTTATCAGGGGATCTGACCGACGCTCAACACTCAGGGGAAGGATGAGACGGATGTACAATCAGACAGTTACTGGTTCCATTGGAATTGGAACTCTTTGCTTGCTGCTGAAGATGGGTGACTTGAGCACTTATGGGAATGTTCCGAGTGCTCAAGAATGGTAACTGGCCAGACCTGTTGTCTATCTTGCTGTATATAGAGAGCATGTCTGCAACACGTGCTCAGTATTCAGGAAAGTCTGTCTGCGTGGGCAAAGTTTTTGATTGTTTGAGCCTTCCTCATGTGGGATCCCATTGTTTGAAAAACAAGAATAGGCCCACTGCCTCCCAAACAAGCATGTCATAAGAGTCGACTAATTGGTGGGGAGGGCCTTCCTTCGAAGCTGTAGTGCAGCTGCCTGATGAGAGGCAAGGAACCAATAATCTGCATACAAACAAGTCAGATCTGTAAAATGGATGTATATGCAAAACTCAGGTTTTGGAACAAGACTAATATCCAGAACTTTACAACTGGGAAATGCCCCCCCCCCCCACCCCCCCACCCCCCCAAAAAAAAGTTGAGCCAAAAATGATCCCTGTATCTGCGGAAATGTATAATAGGTTGTACAAAGGTCGTGAATAAGCACAGCTTTCACATTAGGCTGTGATTAGGCTTGTAACCCAGGGGTGGAGATCCTTCAATACGTACAGATGAACCTGCTACATTGATGGATCTATGCTGTGTGTGTGCGGAAGTCAGTATAGAAATTCATGATTTAGGTACACTCTTTAAAATCAGTCATTATGTGACCTTCGATTTATATTGTAATTGTTTTATTATCGTTATAAATCCTTGTACAAACTAAATGATTATATGGAAAATCAATTATTCTTGTACAAACTGTAGGATTATATAAAAAATTAATTATTCTTGTACAAACTGTAGGATTATGTAAAAAGCTACCTACCCTTGTATAAACTGCAGGATTCTGGATAAAGTTTCTTATCCTTGTGCAAACTAAGATTCTTTAAGCATTTACTTTATCTTTGTGCAAACAGTAGGATGCTGTAAACACATACTTATCATTTTAAAAACTTTTGTAAGCATTCATTTTTTCTTGTACAGACTAAGATTTTGTAAGCCTACACTTTATCTTTGTATAAACTAAGATTGTGTAAACAGTTCCTTATTTTTGTACAAACTACAGTTCTATGAACTATTACTTATCTTCTTACAAACTTTAGGTTTGTGTAAACAACTTGTGTACAGCAGTTTAATTGTTTTTTAATAATGAATTTGTGAAGTGAACGTTTGTGTTTAATTGTTTGTGAATTTAATTTTAGAAGGGAAAAGATTGTGCTTGATTTGTTTCATAATTTTTCAGGTTTGTCCTGCCTTTTACCATTACTTGGGCCCACCACATTAAGAGAAAGACTGTTTTCCCTGAGTTTATCTTTCCTCACAACCTACTTGCTGCTGAGCATCACGTATCCTTTAAGTATAAACATGGCCGCCGGTGTGTGAAAGTGAGGCCAGTAAAAGTAATTACATGACATATACTGCAACACGTGTAAATTGTGTTAGGCTGTCACAAATACAGATACTAAAAACATACCATTTTCCATCATTATCATCATATTGTAAAAAGATTAAGAAAAGTACCCTTTTTCATGCAGTTAGGCAATGTGCAGCTAGACGCTTGCGACCGGATCGGAAGGTCGTGGGTTCGCTCCCTGGCGGAGCCGCACTTTTTAAAACAAATGACTTTGACTCCCAGGTTGACCCAGCCTTGAGTTGGTACCGAGTGCAGTCATGGGAACTACAGGCGGCTGGCCTGATGCTGACCACATCACCCATCTTTTGCCGATTGGTATATAAAAATATGTCTAGCCCTATATGCCCTATACGCCTAAAGGCGTGGAAAAAAGACCTTTATTTTACTTACTTCTGTGTTTATCTGAAGTCCTTGGTGAGTTCTTCATATCAGGTCTGCACTGTTAATTCAGATACAAAGACCTAATATAATATATGACTGAGATAGAAGGCATTAAGAAGGTCATACTGTGTTTGGAATTGTCCATGTGGGTTCTGTGTAAAGGGTTGGATGGGGGGGGGGGGGTGGGGGGGGACTCTAAGAAGCATATTGTAAAAGGTGAATGACTAGGAGCTGGCTGTAATTGGAAGTGCTAGGCTGAAAGGTAGAGATATCACAGCCCAACTGTAAACCACAACAAAGTGTGCTAACAGCCCTTTTAACGGCAAACACAGAAGAATCTTTGCAGTGGCAGAGAAACATATGATGGGTGGTTTGATATAGAAAGATCCTCGTGTGGGTTCAGATGTCCTATTGTGGAGAAGACAAGAATTGACCCACTGCCTCCAAAACAAGCATGATGCAGGGTTGACTAACTAGGGGCATCTTTCAGACTTAGAGTACTTCTGTCTGAGAGACAAGGAACTCAGAGTCTGCCTACATACAAGTAAGCTAGATCTGCACACAACACTGAGGCTGTGGATCAAAACTAAAGTCCGGAGGTGGACGAACACTCAGAACTTTCTGCCAGCGTTTACAGCTGGTGAACGAGAAGAAGATACTGAAAGAGTTAACCACCTTGCTAGTGAGACTCTCTAATATGAGTCAGTCTGTTTAATCACCATAGTGGTTTTCAACATTTTTTAAATGACACCCTATTAAATATATTACAAAACACTGTGCCCCTCTCTAACTTTTAAAAAAAGAAGAAGAAAATGAAAAAAGTGAATAAATGTGGACAAAAAGAAAAATCCTAAGCACTATTAACGAGAACTTGGAGAAAAACATCCACATAAATTGAAAATAAGATAATGCTCCTAGCTTTTTTTAAATAAATAGTTTTTAAAGTATTTAATATGTAATTAAACTAAGCATGTTAGTGTAACAGATTATTACAAGAACAATTGCACCCAATTTCAGAATTACTTAATACTGCCCTAAAAAAACTTCCTTGCTACCCCCTAGGGGAGCTGTTTCCCCACCCTTCCCTCAAGTTGAAAACCATTAGTTTACACTGATGCACTCAGCCATAACAATTTATATTCCGAAGAGCTTCAGTGCATCTTTATGTTTCATATATTCCATTCACTGTCAGAAAACTGCATTACTGAAAAATCAAACAAAATATACTCAGTCGACCTTTCCTTGTTTTTAATGTACAGAGCTTAAATTTTATCTCCGAATACACCGAGCTTACGTGATGTTATTACATTAACTACATTTTCCTTAACCTGATGTCTTAGATATGAGGGTTACTTCTTCTTGTCCCTTTTATCTCTTTTATACTTTTGGCTAAAAATGGAATATGAGACTTTGGGCAGAAGTAGCCATCATGTAAGTAATCTGGGTGTTAAAAGTAGGCATTATGAAAGTAATCTGGCTCTTAGAAGAGGCCATTATCTAAGTAATCTGACTGTCAAAAGGAGTCATTATGTCAGTAGGAGATGGCCAAAATATAGGAGGACTTGTATAAAGACTTTTGCTGCTGCTTTTTCATCTTTTCTCTACTTCTGTAATGCCTCGCATTGTCAAGGCAGGAAGAGATCTCTAGAGCAGGCCCTCCTGTTCACTTTATGTATAATACTTTTTAGTCTCTTTGATATTTCTGTGGTCCATTTTCTCCATAGTCGACTTATCGTTCTTTTACTACTGTGTTTGTGTAACACTGCTGTCTGTGGTGCCCTGTCTGTTGCCAGTCTTGTTAGTTGGCCAAACCATCTAATCAGTTGTCTACCGATAAAGTTCAGTGTGTGGTTCTGTACCGACTCTCCTGTCGTCACCGTTTGTAAGTCGATCTTTCCTTGTTACACCTAACACTATACCTGTACATTTCATTACTGTGATGCTGTGATGACTATTTTAGCTTCTTGGTGGGTTAAAAAAGAGGAAGAAGAAATACGAGAGGTGAATCTACAGTAAGCTTTGTCTTCTGGTTCTGTGTTCAAGGGTTTAAATCCTCACTGGGGTGAGGAATGTGAAAATAGATCATTATGGTCTGAGAAGAATGGCGCTGCGGTGAGTTACCAGGGGATCTGGCCGAGCTCAGCAATCTAGGGAAAGATGAGACGGATGTACAGTCAGACAGTTACTGTTTCCATCAGAATTGGAAATCTTCGCTTGCTGCTGAAGATGGGGAATGGACCGCTTTTGGGAGTGTCCTGAGGGCTGTGATACGGATTCTTAATTCAACATTCAGAACACACCTAGCTTCCTCTATTTGTGTGTAGCTGTGTGTGTATGTCTAGCTTCCTCTCTTATCTGTATGTAGCTGTGTGTGTGTGTCTATTTTTCCTTTCTTATCTGTATATAGGTGTGTGTGTGCTTAGCTTCCTCTCTTATTTATATGTAGGTGTGTGTGTGTGTCTAGCTTCCTCTCTCCCTCCTCACCACTTTTGCCTCCTTCCCTCATAGCTCCCATGTCTAACTGTAATCAAACTTATTGTAAAAGAGTGATATATCTTTAGTATTCACAGGCTGTGAGCTCCGGTGGACAGTTCTGGTTGTTCGTTCATTTCTGGACTGTGCCTGCACAACCATTTTACAGATTTGGCTTATTTGAATGCAGACTGTTGATTCCTCACGCCTCTAAGACAGATGCACTTTGACTTCACAAGAAATTCTCCTAATTAGTCGCCTTGTGCCACTTGCTTGTTAGGCAGTGAGTCTGTTCTCCCCCCCCCCCCTCCCCCAGAAAGGGACTCCAGAACCCACATGGGGAAAGGGGGTTTTTGAATTCAGGACCATGGAGCTAACAGGCAAAAACACTTCACTAAAATAGCTCAGATGACCTTCAGTGTACACATTGTGTGTACCTATATCTGGCTCATCCTTTACTTACCGCTACCCCCTCCCCCTTTTTTCTATAAGTGTACTTAACTTACTGTGAAAATGTGTATCAAATAAAACAGAAAGTTAATGGATCTGCATAGTTGTTAATCCTATGAAAGAAAGATCACTCATTGTCATTCACACTCTCTCTCTCTCTCTCTCTCTCTCTCTCTCTCTCTCTCTCTCTCTCTCTCTCTCTCTCTCTCTCTCTCTCTCTCTCTCTCTCTCTCTCTCTCTGTCTCTCTCTCTTTCTCTCTCTCTCTCTCTCTCTCACTCTCTCTCTCTCATTGACCGATTTTGTTTTACCCAAACATCTTGCTTATTGGTGCATGAGGACAGCGAGATGTTTATTATTAAGTAAGAAAGATTATCTTCTTTCAGAAGCTTCATGAGGTCGATTTCAAGCTTGAGGGATTGATCAAAGATAACATATCTTCGGCCACATTTTCTCGCCACCTGGAGATATCAGATCTGAGGAGAGCTTTCTTCTTTGTATCCTTGTTGGTGTTCAGAGTTCACCTGCTATTGTAGCACTTGTTAGCCAACTTATGAGCTTAGAAATCTTATAGTTTCTTTGCAGTTGACAGTGTAATTAAATTGTGGGGGTAGTGTTAATTCGCTCATGCATATACATTAACCAGTTCACCTATATACACACAGATAATTTATGTATTTTAGTGTACATGTCAGGGTTGATTGAAAGTACACGAAACAGAAGGTTGTGGATAGACTACCAGCGCCTAATGGAAAGTAAAGTAAAGATCCCTTTTCACGCCTTAGGTGCATCGGGCATATGGGAAGAGCATATTTTTACAGACCGATTGGCACTAGGTGGGTAATGTGGACAATATTACGCTGGCCGTCTTCACTTCCCCGGGACAGCCATCCTGGTACCAATTTTAGACTGGGTGGGCCTGCGAAGCCCCATACCATGATAAAAATCCACACAAACGCCGCATGACATGGACTTCAAAACAAGTCAGTATGATCCACAGCCTTCCCCGTATGGGTTTCAGGACCCCATTCAAAATAGAAGAGACCCACTGTCCCCTAACCAACAGGTCGTTAAAGGTGACGTATTAAGATTTTGCTAAAATTGGCTGTGTCGGGCTGTAAAGGTGCAGATATTGCAGTCCAACTGTAAACCAAAGCATAACATGCCAACCGCCCTTTCAAGGCTGACTGCAGTCCAACTGTAAACCAAAGCATAACATGCCAACCGCCCTTTCAAGGCTGACTGCAGTCCCACTGTAAACCAAAGCATAACATGCCAACCGCCCTTTCAAGGCTGACTGCAGTCCCACTGTAAACCAAAGCATAACATGCCAACCGCCCTTTCAAGGCTGACTGCAGTCCAACTGTAAACCAAAGCATAACATGCCAACCGCCCTTTCAAGGCTGAATGCAGAAAAGGACAGATGCAGTTTTTTTGTAATTTTGAAGCCCCACCCTGGCTCTTGCTAGGGGCTGCAATATAGCCCGGCCATGAATATGGTCTAATGTCTGAACGCAGTTTCTGGGACCTCTCCACAGGTGATCCTCATCCTAATAGTGGAGCTTTATGTCATTGGATGTTTATCGCTTGTGTGATGTCCTGGTGGGGTAAAAGTACTTCTACTAAGGAAAGAAAAAGGGGCATAAAAATAACACTCACATTGTCGCTTGTTCATTTTCATGTTAATGAAGGATTACATGTACTTTCTGCTTTATTTTTGTCATTTTTTGAAGAGTTTTCAATTTTACTTCTGCTCTCAGGTAGTTTGTTTCACCACTCCATTTATCCTTCATTCATCCAGTAAATTATTTTTTTTGCAAGTAAAGAACTGTTAAAGAATATTATTTGTACAGTAAAATGTTCTAAATTTGATTTGCCAAAAAAAGTTGCCTTGACTATCGTTAGATCTTCTTCATTCTGATGGCATTTTTTGGAACAGGAAATATTGCCAGTATCAACAGGTGGGCCATTTACATGTGTCTTCTTTTTCTTTTTCTGCAGTCACTCTTATAATGGCGGTTGGCACGATGTGTTTGGCACGTTTGTGTTTAGATTGTTATGTTTGGTACATCAAGTTGTGGGTTATGACTAGGCCTTTTGGCCCAGCACAGCCAACTTCAGCACGTCCTTAATTTGCGAGCTTCACAACATGTTTGTTCAGGAGTAGTTGGTTTATTCTCACATCCCCACGACCCTTTCTCAGACATGGGGTCCTAGAACTCACACGGCAAATTTACTTATTTTTTCTTCTTCTTCGGCATTCATCCGAAAATGTAAATACTTTGTACCCATTTACAGCATGGTTGCGATATTAGCGCCTTCCGGCAGACACATCCGACTTCTGGTGGAACTTTTTGTGCGGTTGACATTCCTGGATTTACTCATTTAAAAATAGCCACTGGCTAATGCTCCCACATACAAGATTTTTCTCCAACCTCATTCAGGAGACCAGAATGTTTTGCTGATTATCAGATTGACACTCTGTTGTCCTCACAAAGTTTTGAGGTTGAAATGTGTAACTTAACCACACCAGAGCATGGGTACAATACACAATGCTTCTCTGCATGGTTTACCCCACAATGCTTCTCTGCATGGTTTCCCCCATAATGCTTCTCTGCATGTTTCTCTGCATGGTTTCCCCCACAATGCTTCTCTGCATGGTTTCCCCCATAATGCTTCTCTGCATGGTTTCCCCCATAATGCTTCTCTGCATGGTTTCCCCCATAATGCTTCTCTGCATGGTTTCCCCCATAATGCTTCTCTGCATGTTTCTCTGCATGGTTTCCCCCACAATGCTTCTCTGCATGGTTTCCCCCATAATGCTTCTCTGCATGGTTTACCCCATAATGCTTCTCTGCATGGTTTCCCCCACAATGCTTCTCTGCATGGTTAACCCCATAATGCTTCTCTGCATGGTTTCCCCCACAATGCTTCTCTGCATGGTTTCCCCCACAATGCTTCTCTGCATGGTTTCCCCCATAATGCTTCTCTGCATGGTTTCCCCCACAATGCTTCTCTGCATGGTTTTCCCCATAATGCTTCTCTGCATGGTTTCCCCCACAATGCTTCTCTGCATGGTTTACCCCATAATGCTTCTCTGCATGTTTCTCTGCATGGTTTCCCCACAATGCTTCTCTGCATGGTTTCCCCCATAATGCTTCTCTGCATGGTTTCCCCACAATGCTTCTCTGCATGTTTCTCTGCATGGTTTCCCCCACAATGCTTCTCTGCATGTTTCTCTGCAAGGTTTCCCCACAATGCTTCTCTGCATGGTTTCCCCCACAATGCTTCTCTGCATGGTTTACCCCATAATGCTTCTCTGCATGTTTCTCTGCATGGTTTCCCCCACAATGCTTCTCTGCATGGTTTCCCCCACAATGCTTCTCTGCATGGTTTCCCCCACAAAGCTTCTCTGCATGGTTTCCCCCCACAATGCTTCTCTGCATGGTTTACCCCATAATGCTTCTCTGCATGGTTTACCCCACAATGCTTCTCTGCATGTTTCTCTGCAAGGTTTCCCCACAATGCTTCTCTGCATGGTTTCCCCCCACAATGCTTCTCTGCATGGTTTACCCCATAATGCTTCTCTGCATGTTTCTCTGCATGGTTTCCCCCACAATGCTTCTCTGCATGGTTTACCCCATAATGCTTCTCTGCATGGTTTCCCCCACAATGCTTCTCTGCATGGTTTCCCCCATGATGCTTCTCTGCATGGTTTCCGGGGGAATGCTTCTCTGCATGGTTTCCCCCATAATGCTTCTCTGCATGGTTTCCCCCACAATGCTTCTCTGCATGTTTCTCTGCATGGTTTCCCCACAATGCTTCTCTGCATGGTTTCCCGCACAATGCTTCTCTGCATGTTTCTCTGCATGGTTTCCCCACAATGCTTCTCTGCATGGTTTCCCCCACAATGCATATTTCCCTACGGTCATTGTTCAAGAAGGAGGGAATTGTTTTGTGAAAACTGATGCTGGAGTCATGAAGCAAGATTCTGATTTGGTGTAGGGGGCCTATGTTGACTGCATTCTACTGGTCTTCAAAGGAGCTTCATCTTTTTTGCATTCACCAGCTGTGAACTCCAACAGAAAGTTCATCCACTTCTGGACTTTCATCTTGTTCCACATCTTAAATTCGGCATGCAAATCCATTTTACATGTATGGCTTATTTGTTTACAGATTGCTTGTTCCTTGTTCCTTGCCACTCCGGCAGATGTGCTGCAACTTCAAAGGAAACCCTGAAATAGTCTACTTTTAACACACGCTTGTTAGAGAGGCAGTTGGTCTCTACTCCCCCCCCCCCCCCTCCACCCCAGTCCTATCCATTTGGGCCCTGGAACCCACACAGGAACTCCAAAGAAGTAATCCATGATGTACCAGAGACCCAACATGGAAAAGAATTTGAAGCAATCTTGTGCCCAGCATGTACATTCTTAGGGCCTTGTGTGTTAGATCTGCATTTAAGGAGACCTCCTTGGTTATCAGAGAACCCTAGAGTGTTGCCTCCACTTGAGGCCTGGATGGCATGCATGCAGCTATGCAGGATTGTTGTTCTGGGAGGCACCAGACTGAGATGGAATGGACAAAGAGAATGTCTCTAATCTGAGCCTGTCTTACAAATATTACATTTGAAGGCTAAGCTGACCCGCCAGCTAAACAGACTCACAGAAAACAACCAAATCATTCTCCAGTGGATCCCGGCTCACTGCAGCCTTCTAGGAAATGAGTTAGCAGATTTGCAAAAAAATGGAACAAAGGAGAAACAACATGCCTTTTCATTGTCATTACCAGAAATCAGAACACTAATCAAAGGAAAATACAAAGAATTGTGGAGAGAACAAACTAACAGTAAATATCCACAAGACCCCCATGAGCAAACTCAACAGAAAGCAACATACGAACATCTACGAACAGGACACTGCAGGCTCAACTACCACATGCATAAAATAAAGATTATAGTCACCACAGTGTGCCTGTCAAACAGGACCACAAACACCTGAGCGTGTTCTGCAGACCTGGCCTCAAGAGCAAATTGCAGAGCCAGCTATGGGGAACCATGAAGGATCTGCTAATGACATGCGAGTTCATAGAGGCAACCCCCCTGTTGGTCTGATCTGAGCATACAGAACCCAACACAAAGAAGAAGAAGAAGGCTAAGCTGATCAATAAATTGTTGGCACCTTCCCAGACGATAGTGTTTTATTGTGCTATTGAAAGGCCTAGCAAGCACAGCTCATGGTGATGACCAATGTGACTAAAGCCAGGAGTACATTCCCCGCTGTTTAGTCAATGCAAGGAAAAAATTTATGTGAAAGGTACAAATAGGATATCTCTGCTGCAGATAGGCACAACTCAGACAATCTAACTCACAGTACTTTTAAAATATGGCAGCCAAGAATATATGATTATCATCAATTTCAGCTTTTGCCAATCAGTGTAGCGGGGACGGACAGTGCAGTACATTGCTTGATGGGTAGCTCTGGCTATTGTCATTTCATGTCAGTGTAGAATGTCTTTAATGTCATCCATCCATGTCCTCCTTGGGTGCCCTCTTCTTCAAAAAAATAACTCCTCCCCCTTCCTTTCCTGTGTGCATTCAGGGGGCCCCATTGTGGGGGAGAACAAGAATAGACGTACTGCCTCTCCAACAAGCATGTCCTAGGAGTCAACTAGTAGCAGGGTATCCTTTGAACTCAGAGTACCTCTGCCTGAGAGGCAAGGAACCAAGAATCTACATGCAGATAAGCCAGATCTGTGAAACAGATGTGCATGCAACACTCAGCTTTTGGAACAAGACTAAAGTCTTGAGGTGGACGGACATCTAGAACTTTCCACTGAAGTTTATCAGCCAGTGAATGTGAAGAAGAAAACAAGAATTAATGCGAGGGAAGGCTTCAAATAAACACTAGAAGTGTTGACAGAAATTACATCCTCTGCACCATGATGTCACATGCCTAACACTCTTGACATCCTTAACAACAATATTGACAGGTTGACAATGCAGTGGCATGGTTATTGTATTATCTGTCTCATTTTCCAGGTTTTCATTTGAAACCCTCTCATAAATCACCAAAATTACAATTGTTATATATTATTTCTTTTTTAGCCTCACTTATGTTGGTCTTCATTTCAGATTTTTATCTTTTCTTCTTTGTTCATTCAGGTTGTTTTATAATTGTTTCTTGTATGTCTGCAGCTTTGATCCCGCATCTGTGTACTGCTTTCTGACAGTATTCAACCCTTTTCTCATGGGCACCCTCATGATGTTGAAGGTTTGTTTGACATTTTTTTCTAGTCATCACCATTATCAGATTGTTCCCTGTAGAGTGACTTTATGTGTAGAATACGATTTTCTGTAATAATACAGTTGTTCTTTAGAGAGTGACTTTATGTGTAGAATACAATTTTCTGTAATAATACAGTTGTTCTTTAGAGAGTGACTTTATAATATTATTGTGTGTTAGAATACAGTTATACTTTAGAGTGGTAAGATACAAGAAGGTATATACTCTCATGGTGGCCAGAAAAGAAAATGCTTCAAAAACATGCTGAAGACCTCACTTGAAGCCTTCATTATAAACCCTGACACTTGGGGCCACTTGCACAAGCCCAGACTGAAGGGGGAACATCTGTCCGAAGAGATGAAGTGACTGCGAGGCTGCTAGATAGCGGGCAGGTAAACAACGAAGGCAAGCTAGAAAGACCTGAATAACAGATCCTTTACCTACAGTTCCCTGCCCCCATTGCCCTAGATCCTTCTGGGTCCACATTAGGCTTATAAATCATCTCCAAACTCACAGGCAAGTTTTATGATGACTGGAAAAAAGAGTTGTCTTCATCAGTTGCGATTGAGGAACAACACCAGTTTTAGAGTGACTTTATGTTAAGAATATCATTGTACTTTAGAGTGTGACTTTATGTTTAGAATATCATTGTACTTTAGAGTGTGACTTTATGTTTAGAATATCATTGTACTTTATGTAAGAATATCATTGTACTTTAGAGTGTGACTTTATGTTTAGAATATCATTGTACTTTATGTTAAGAATATCATTGTACTTTAGAGTGTGACTTTATGTTTAGAATATCATTGTACTTTAGAGTGTGACTTTATGTTTAGAATATCATTGTACTTTAGAGTGTGACTTTATGTTTAGAAGATCATTTTACTTTATGTAAGAATATCATTGTACTTTAGAGTGTGACTTTATGTTTAGAATATCATTGTACTTTATGTTAAGAATATCATTGTACTTTAGAGTGTGACTTTATGTTTAGAATATCATTGTACTTTAGAGTGTGACTTTATGTTTAGAATATCATTGTACTTTAGAGTGTGACTTTATGTTTAGAAGATCATTGTACTTTATGTAAGAATATCATTGTACTTTAGAGTGTGACTTTATGTTTAGAATATCATTGTACTTTATGTTAGAATATCATTTTACTTTAGAGAGTGACTTTATGTTAGAATATCATTGTACTTTAGAGTGTGACTTTATGTTTAGAACATCATTGTACTTTATGTTAAGAATATCATTCACTGTACTCTATAGAGTGACTATGTTAGAATATCATTCACTGTACTTTAGAGTGTGACTTTATGTTTAGAATATAATTGTACTTTAATGAGGGACTTATTGTAAGAAAATAATTGTACTTTAATGAGTGACTTTATGTTAGAATATCATTCACTGTACTTTAGAGTGTGATTTTATGTTAGAATATCATAGTACTTTAGAGTTTGACTTATGTTTAGAATATCACTGTACTTTAGAGTGACTTTATGTTGGGAATGTAATTGTAATTTAGAGTGTGACTTTACGTTCAGAATATCATTCATTATACTTTAGAGAGTGACTTTATGTTAGAATATTATCCATTGTACTTTAATGAGTGACTTTATGTTAGAATATTATTGTACTTTAGAGTGTGACTTTATGTTTAGAATATCATTGTACTTTTTTGTGTGAATTTATGTTAGAATATTATTCATTGTACTTTAGAGTGTGACTTTATGTTAGAAAATCTTTAGATAAAGTATATTTTGATGCATTTTTGAATTCTGGCCATCTGTCATCGGCGTTGGCATATCAAATAGTTCAATTTCTATACATGTTGAAACTTTTTATAAGTAAAAGTTAAGTACAGCATACCAAATAGGTTTCGTTTCTACACTTTTTGAAACTATTTTATTTTAAGTCAGAAGTTAAGTAAAGGCCACTTTTTTGCACCACCGTCACAACAGGCATGTGATGCTAAACTCATTTATTTTTAAAGACCAACTGGCACTCAGGATGTGATGTGGTCGACATCCAGCTAAATTTTATTTTTTTAACTCTTTCAGTCCCATGGGGTGTAGCATCAGAGGCCCAAGGTGTAGTAGTAAAGAGAGATGTGCACATCTTGTGTTCAGAGAGCTTCTAGGTAGGAACCTTTGAATGTATGATGCGTTCCTCTAGATTCAAAGAGTTAATTATAAAATAATCAGTATTTTTCATTTGTATTAACAGAACATGATTCCATTTCTGGTGGTAACCTGTGCCTTCCGAGGTGTCCACGTGTTGACTAGAACTCCACTCCGGTCGCTGTTTTTAATTGTTCTTATTATGTCAGATTTCATGGGCCTTGTAAGTTCACCTGTTGTTTTCATTTTGTTATTATTTGATGTCTGGTCAGATAATGTGTGCTTGTGTGTGTGTGTTTGTGTGTGTGTTTGTGGTTGTGTGTGTGTGGACATGTTTGCACATCTTGGTATGTGGTTATCTTAGTATTCATTTGCCTTTGTTTATGCAGGGTTCTCCATAGTAAAGCAGTCAAATATTTTGCTTAGCCGACTGGTTTGCTAAGCTGAATGGTTTGCTAGGCCAAATGGTTTGCTTGGCTGAATGGTTTGCTAAGCCAAATGGTTTGCTAACCCAAGTGGTTTGCTTGGCTGAATGGTTTGCTTAGTCAATTGGTTTGCTTAGCCGAATGGTTTTGCTAAGCTGAATGGTTTGCTTAGCCGAATGGTTTGCTTAGTCCATTTGTTTGCCTAGCTGAATGGTTTGCTTAGCCAAATGGTTTGCTTAGCTGAATGGTTTGCTAAGCCAAATGGTTTGTTTACCTGAATGGTTTGCTTAGTCGAATGGTTTGCTTAGTCGAATGGTTTGCTTGGTCAATTGGTTTGCTTAGCCGGATGGTTTGCTTAGCCGAATGGTTTGCTTAGCCGAATGGTTTGCTTAGTCAATTGGTTTGCTTAGCTGAATGGTTTGCTTAGCTGAATGGTTTGCTTAGCCAAATGGTTTGCTTGGTCAAATGGTTTGCTTGGTCAAATGGTTTACTTAGCCAAATGGTTTGCTTACCTGAATGGTTTGCTTAGTCAATTGGTTTGCTTAGCCAAATGGTTTGCTTAGCAAATGTGGTGACTGAGGGATGTTTGTTATGTTAAATAACTTCTGCCTTATTGACACTCAGACCTGCACTCTAATGTCTCTGACAAAATATTTAATTAGTTTTAGGTCTATGTTATTTTCATAGTTTTTTGGTGAAGAGCTAGTAATATAGCTTACAGCAAAGTGTCGGGTCAGTTAACTTACTTAAACCTAGGGTTTTTGGTGAAGAGCTAGTAATATAGCTTACAGCAAAGTGTCGGGTCAGTTAACTTACTTAAACCTAGGGTTTTTGGTGAAGAGCTAGTAATATAGCTTACACCAAAGTGTCGGGTCAGTTAACTTACTTAAAGCTAGGTTTTTTGGTGAAGAGCTAGTAATATAGCTTACACCAAAGTGTTGGGTCAGTTAACTTACTTAAACCTAGGGTTTTTGGTGAAGAGCTAGTAATATAGCTTACACCAAAGTGTCGGGTCAGTTAACTTACTTAAACCTAGTATTTTTAGTGAAGAGCTAGTAATATAGCTTACACCAAAGTGTCGGGTCAGTTAACTTACTTAAACCTAGGGTTTTTGGTTAAGAGCTAGTAATATAGCTTACACCAAAGTGTCGGGTCAGTTAACTTACTTAAACCTAGAGTTTTTGGTGAAGAGCTAGTAATATAGCTTACACCAAAGTGTCGGGTCAGTTAACTTACTTAAACCTAGAGTTTTTGGTGAAGAGCTAGTAATATAGCTTACACCAAAGTGTCGGGTCAGTTTAACTTACTTAAACCTAGGGTTTTTGGTGAAGAGCTAGTAATATAGCTTACACCAAAGTGTCGGGTCAGTTAACTTACTTAAACCTAGAGTTTTTGGTGAAGAGCTAGTAATATAGCTTACACCAAAGTGTCGGGTCAGTTAACTTACTTAAACCTAGGGTTTTTGGTGAAGAGCTAGTAATATAGCTTACACCAAAGTGTCGGGTCAGTTAACTTACTTAAACCTAGGTTTTTTTGGTGAAGAGCTAGTAATATAGCTTACACCAAAGTGTCGGGTCAGTTAACTTACTTAAACCTAGGGTTTTTTGGTGAAGAGCTAGTAATATAGCTTACACCAAAGTGTCGGGTCAGTTTAACTTACTTAAACCTAGGGTTTTTGGTGAAGAGCTAGTAATATAGCTTACACCAAAGTGTCGGGTCAGTTAACTTACTTAAACCTAGGGTTTTTTGGTGAAGAGCTAGTAATATAGCTTACACCAAAGTGTCGGGTCAGTTAACTTACTTAAACCTAGGTTTTTTGGTGAAGAGCTAGTAATATAGCTTACACCAAAGTGTCGGGTCAGTTAACTTACTTAAACCTAGGGGTTTTTGGTGAAGAGCTAGTAATATAGCTTACAGCAAAGTGTCGGGTCAGTTAACTTACTTAAACCTAGGGTTTTTGGTGAAGAGCTAGTAATATAGCTTACACCAAAGTGTCGGGTCAGTTAACTTACTTAAACCTAGGGTTTTTGGTGAAGAGCTAGTAAAATAGCTTACACCAAAGTGTCGGGTCAGTTAACTTACTTAAACCTAGGTTTTTTGGTGAAGAGCTAGTAATATAGCTTACACCAAAGTGTCGGGTCAGGTAACTTACTTAAACCTAGGTTTTTTGGTGAAGAGCTAGTAATATAGCTTACACCAAAGTGTCGGGTCAGTTAACTTACTTAAACCTAGGGTTTTTGGTGAAGAGCTAGTAATATAGCTTACACCAAAGTGTCGGGTCAGTTAACTTACTTAAACCTAGGGTTTTTGGTGAAGAGCTAGTAATATAGCTTACAGCAAAGTGTCGGGTCAGTTAACTTACTTAAACCTAGGGTTTTTGGTGAAGAGCTAGTAATATAGCTTACACCAAAGTGTCGGGTCAGTTAACTTACTTAAACCTAGGGTTTTTGGTGAAGAGCTAGTAATATAGCTTACACCAAAGTGTCGGGTCAGTTAACTTACTTAAACCTAGGGTTTTTTTGATGAAGAGCTAGTAATATAGCTTACACCAAAGTGTCGGGTCAGTTAACTTACTTAAACCTAGGGTTTTTTGGTGAAGAGCTAGTAATATAGCTTACACCAAAGTGTCGGGTCAGTTAACTTACTTAAACCTAGGGGTTTTTGGTGAAGAGCTAGTAATATAGCTTACACCAAAGTGTCGGGTCAGTTAACTTACTTAAACCTAGGGTTTTTGGTGAAGAGCTAGTAATATAGCTTACACCAAAGTGTCGGGTCAGTTAACTTACTTAAACCTAGGTTTTTTGGTGAAGAGCTAGTAATATAGCTTACACCAAAGTGTCGGGTCAGTTAACTTACTTAAACCTAGGGTTTTTGGTGAAGAGCTAGTAATATAGCTTACAGCAAAGTGTCGGGTCAGTTAACTTACTTAAACCTAGGGTTTTTGGTGAAGAGCTAGTAATATAGCTTACACCAAAGTGTCGGGTCAGTTAACTTACTTAAACCTAGGGTTTTTGGTGAAGAGCTAGTAATATAGCTTACACCAAAGTGTCGGGTCAGTTAACTTACTTAAACCTAGGTTTTTTGGTGAAGAGCTAGTAATATAGCTTACACCAAAGTGTCGGGTCAGTTAACTTACTTAAACCTAGGGTTTTTGGTGAAGAGCTAGTAATATAGCTTACACCAAAGTGTCGGGTCAGTTAACTTACTTAAACCTAGGATTTTTGGTTAAGAGCTAGTAATATAGCTTACACCAAAGTGTCGGGTCAGTTAACTTACTTATACCTAGAGTTTTTGGTGAAGAGCTAGTAATATAGCTTACACCAAAGTGTCGGGTCAGTTAACTTACTTAAACCTAGAGTTTTTGGTGAAGAGCTAGTAATATAGCTTACACCAAAGTGTCGGGTCAGTTAACTTACTTAAACCTAGGTTTTTTGGTGAAGAGCTAGTAATATAGCTTACACCAAAGTGTCGGGTCAGTTAACTTACTTAAACCTAGGTTTTTGGTGAAGAGCTAGTAATATAGCTTACACCAAAGTGTCGGGTCAGTTAACTTACTTAAACCTAGGGTTTTTGGTGAAGAGCTAGTAATATAGCTTACACCAAAGTGTCGGGTCAGTTAACTTACTTAAACCTAGGGTTTTTGGTGAAGAGCTAGTAATATAGCTTACACCAAAGTGTCGGGTCAGTTAACTTACTTTAAACCTAGGGTTTTTGGTGAAGAGCTAGTAATATAGCTTACACCAAAGTGTCGGGTCAGTTAACTTACTTAAACCTAGGGTTTTTGGTGAAGAGCTAGTAATATAGCTTACACCAAAGTGTCGGGTCAGTTAACTTACTTAAACCTAGGGTTTTTGGTGAAGAGCTAGTAATATAGCTTACACCAAAGTGTCGGGTCAGTTAACTTACTTAAACCTAGGGTTTTTGGTGAAGAGCTAGTAATATAGCTTACACCAAAGTGTCGGGTCAGTTAACTTACTTAAACCTACTTGAAGAGCTACACCAAAGTGTCGGGTCAGTTAACTTACTTAAACCTAGGGTTTTTGGTGAAGAGCTAGTAATATAGCTTACACCAAAGTGTCGGGTCAGTTAACTTACTTAAACCTAGGGTTTTTTGGTGAAGAGCTAGTAATATAGCTTACACCAAAGTGTCGGGTCAGTTAACTTACTTAAACCTAGGGTTTTTGGTGAAGAGCTAGTAATATAGCTTACACCAAAGTGTCGGGTCAGTTAACTTACTTAAACCTAGGGTTTTTGGTGAAGAGCTAGTAATATAGCTTACACCAAAGTGTCGGGTCAGTTGTCTAGGGGGTGAAGAGCAGTAATATAGCTTACCAAAGTGTAAACCTAGGTTTTTTTGGTGAAGAGCTAGTAATATAGCTTACACCAAAGTGTCGGGTCAGTTAACTTACTTAAACCTAGGGTTTTTGGTGAAGAGCTAGTAATATAGCTTACACCCAAAGTGTCGGGTCAGTTAACTTACTTAAACCTAGGGTTTTTTGGTGAAGAGCTAGTAATATAGCTTACACCAAAGTGTCGGGTCAGTTAACTTACTTAAACCTAGGTTTTTGGTGAAGAGTAGTAATATAGCTTACACCAAAGTGTCGGGTCAGTTAACTTACTTAAAAACCTAGGTTTTTTGGTGAAGAGCTAGTAATATAGCTTACACCAAAGTGTCGGGTCAGTTAACTTACTTTAACCTAGGGTTTTTGGTGAAGAGCTAGTAATATAGCTTACACCAAAGTGTCGGGTCAGTTAACTTACTTAAACCTAGGTTTTTTGGTGAAGAGCTAGTAATATAGCTTACACCAAAGTGTCGGGTCAGTTAACTTACTTAAACCTAGGTTTTTTTTTGGGGGGGGGGGGGGGGGGGTTTCTCAACTTTTGTTGAACCTTTTAGCCTGCCTTGCATTGGTTTTGATAGTGGTATCTAGAGTCATCTGTTTAGAAAGCAGTGGTAAATTACTGAACATAAAATTGCCTAGTAAAATCACAAACAGTCAAAATGCTAGATTGGTTCTGCTACGTCCAAAAATGACATGAACTAACTTTTTTTTTAAGCCTTTGACTTTGTGCTCATATGGTTGCGGCTTTAATTTAGGACCCCTACTCTCAGCTTGCAAGTGCAGGTGTCCTGGGAACTCTGTAATTATAGAGCTTTTGTACGTTTGCAATGCTGTTGGCAGGCAGCCATCATCACTCTGCGGAGAGAGGGAGAGAGAGGATGAGGCCTGATGCAATAAAGTCAGTCTACTATGTTTTTAACTCGTTCATTAAAAACCACTCACAGAGCATTTGTAGGTTTCGGTTGAAATGATTTTTCTCCTGATTCCTTATACCATCCAGCTGTTACACCTCCCCACTCCTGTTATCACTTCAACACCTTCTAACCCCTAAAATTTGTTTTTTTTAATTTTTCAGATGTAAATTTTTATTGATTAAAGTAAGAACTTTTTAGGATATGATTGGTTAAAGTAAAATATTCCTGGGAAAGATAATGAAAGTTTTTCTGTCGGGGGCAAAAAAAATGTATCCTAACCTGAGTTTATGGTGGCTTCAATAGCCTTGTGGCCCCAGAATCCCCTCCCCCCACTGTTCCTAACCTGCGCCGCCCTAAAAAAAAAAGTTATACTATATGCAGTAAAGACAGTGATTTTGTTTGTTTTTTTTAAACCTGTAAACTCTTTTTGTTCAAGCATTTTTTTTTTTTTTAATTGATTTTCAAGAACGTCCAATTGTCTTTCCAGCATTTCTTTTTCCTGGTCCGTGATTATGGTAGCTGGCTGGAGATTGGAACAACCATTAGTCACTACGTCATCGTCATGGTGATGATCATATTCCTGCTGCTGCTGACAGGGGCCTCTCATACGCTGACATGTCACCGGCTTCTTTGGAGACCACACAGTGACAAGCGGTATTAAACTGAACATTACTCTGAATGTTATACACCCACCCTGGACAAACTATGGAGATGTCAAACAACCTAAAGTAACTGCTGCAGCTGCTGGGAGCCTCTCATACACTGAAACGACACAGGCTTCTCTGGAGACCACAGAGTGACAAGTTCTTGTAAAGTGAACATTGTGCTGAACATTATACTCCCACACACTAGCTAAGAACAAACTCTATGAGGGTGTCAAACAACCTCAAGTAACTCTTGCTGCTGGAAGCCTCTGGTATGCTGCCAGGTTTCTCTGGTTACTGAAGAGTGACAGGTTGTAATATCTTAACAGTTATTCTGAACATTGTACACATACTATGCTAATTAAGGAAAAACTCTTTGAAGTTTTGCAGCATCCGTGGCTTAGGCGTTGCGAGTCGGACTCATAATTCCATCGTACCGTGTTTGAAACCCACTGCTGGCTGTGTGGATTTTTATCATGGTATGGGGCGTCGCAGGTCGACCCAGCCTTTAATTGGTACCACGATGGATGTCCTGGGAAAGTAATGCTGACCGCATTATCCGCTTAGTGCCACGTGGTCTGTATAAATGTGGGATGGTCTTCCCATATGCCCGAATGCGCCCAAGACTCGAAGAGAGATCTTTACTTTACTTTTACTTTACTCTTTAAAGTTTTCAAACAACCTCAAGTACCCCTGCTAACAGGAGCCTTTCGCATGTTTGAGATATCACAAGCTTTTTTAGTAGACCACCAAGCATCATGTTGTTTCTTAGTTTTGTTCCCCCTGCCACTGGTTTTCCAGTGAGAAGGCTACAGGCCTGTATGAAGTCTGTTGTATGTGTCCTCCACTGTTGTGTAAGCTTGGTTTTCACTAGAATGCTGATGGCCGGACTCAAGCTCTCTCTACTGGAAACACAGAAAGGCCAACTAGAAACAATGAGGAGGGGCATGAAAATCACAGCCCGTAGCAATGATGAGTGTGACTAGCAAATCTTCCACAGTTAGAGCGTGAGATTTTAGCACCGTTGATGCCTTCACATGTATTTAATTTGCTTTTTTCTCTGGAACTCAGATCTCAATGTTTCTACTATCATTTTGTTCCCATTCCCTTTTAGATTTTCCTCCTCCACACTACACGGTCCATGGCATTTTGTCTGCAGCACTTATTGAGAATTCTGGGGTGTTTCCACGTGGACAAAGTTCTCCCTAGCCTTGAATTTCTACATATGGTTGTGGAATCTGTTGTCTCCATTTCACTGTCTAATAATATTGGTCTGCTGTTGATTTCATGTGGAGAATTTTATTGGATCTTTGGGATTGTATTCTGGATGGGAAGTGTTTCAGTGTTCAGATGGTTGCCTTGATTTGAGTTTTGTTTTTCTCATACCTGCATCTGACTGTTTTGTATTGCTCCCAGTTTTTTTGCTTATTAAACTGATCGTTGTCCTGGGAGTTGAAAAGTTGCTTGCATGTTGACCACATTACCCACTAAGTGCTGATTCATCTATAAAATAAAAGTTCATTATTATGTGCCCAGTGTGCCTAAAGGTAGACAAAGTGCCCTTTTTTTTTTTTTTTTAAACTTGTATGTTTCTGGTAAAGGTTAGTTGTGTATCCTTTACAGGACGTTGCAGAACCAACCCCAGCAGCCCCTGGCTGTTGTGTGGTTTCTCTAGGCAAATTTACATCCAGTAGTTTGCCATTGCTTCTGAACGGTCGGCTCCCTGATAACACTGTCGAAACCAACGCAAGGCGCATGGCCCGCAGCTGGGATTGAACCCGGCACCCCGGCATTACGAAGCGTTAGCATCAACTTAGCCACAGAGCTGACTGTATGTTTCTACAAATTTCAAATGAGTATTTGCGATAAGGACTGATATGATGAAAATTCTATCAAATGTGCAGTATGTGATTTCTATTTATGAAGCTATGTTGTTTGTCACAAACATCGGAAAGAGAGAGTCATCATTTATAGTCATATTTTGAGAAGGAAACTGGAACTTGTTGTGACCGCTGGAAAGAGAGACAAATGCAGATTTTGAGGAGAAAAGATCATCCCTGCCAGTCGTCAAGGTGATGATGATGATTAATGGAGTTAATACACACTCATAGTATGGGTACTTAATAATTTTCTGCTAATCACCTGAAACAGAAAGATGGTAATGAATAGAACCAAATGTCACACCTCATTGTGTTGTGGTCTAGAATATGTTAAGGTCTAAAACTTTACACTCCCCTAAGGATATTTGTCATGTAACTCATTTTGTACATTTTAAATTCACCACATACTTAACAACTCTCAGTTGTGACAGAATGTTGCTACCCTGTCAGTACAGGTCTAAGATCAGATAAGACCTGTACAATGTGTACCTAGTCATTTTCTTGTCTCATGACAAGTGAGCCAGTGAGAAAGGTAGGCCATAAATTAGGATATGTGAAGATAAAATCATCCTATCAGAGCCATTACATCACATTAAAAGTTGCAATTTATATGCATTGGAAAATGTAAAATATTTTATGCAAATTTATATTTAAATAAATCACCATTGTTGGCATGCAATTTTCCTGTTCTACTGATTCATTTTCCAGTGTCAGATAGTTCAATTAACAATGTTGACAGTTACAATGATGATATATTTTGTTATTTTCAACCAGAAAGAATTAAATTAAAATCTCTTGTAAGCTCTTGCCACACTTGTACTATATGGTAACTCAGCAGGATTGAGGTAACTCAGCAGGATTGAGGTAACTCAGCAGGATTGAGGTAACTCAGCAGGATTGAGGTAACTCAGCAGGATTGAGGTAACATAGCAGGATTGAGGTAACTCAGCAGGATTGAATCAAACCATCACTGGTTGTCTGTTAATGAAGGGTGGCTGCAATATGTCAACATTTCCTGTATGGTAAAAGTAAGTGAAGGACCCTTTTCCACGCCTTTAGGCATTCTGGGCATATAGGGCTAGACATATATTTTATAGTTGGTAGGTGATATGGTCAGCATCACGCCAGCCACCTTTACTTCTCATGACTGCACCTGGTACCCACTCAAGGCTGGGAGGCAAAGTCGTTTTTTTTAAAGTCTAGGTCCGTCAGGACTCGAACCCACAACCCTCCAATCTGCAGGCGAGTGTCTAGCTGCCACACTACGACAACTTCCAATTTAATGTATATCCGCAATAAAAGTAGGCTACAGTATGTGAAGACGTGCGGGAAGGCTAACCCAGACAACAAATGCCTACAAAAGTCAGATGTATCGGCCGAAAGGCATAAATATTGAAGCCATGTTGTAAACAGTGGCAACACATTTACATCTTTGGGGGAACAAAGAAGAAGAAGATTTTCTTTATGCACAGTAAAAGTTGGCTTAAGTGGATCACCAGGTCATGTGTGAAGTTTTTGTGTTAACACCAAAGTAGCAGTCGCGGATAACAGTAAAATTATGTCAGTCACTTTTGATTGAAAACGCGTTGAATTTATGTTTATGTTTATTCAATGGATCAACATCATGGCGCACGGGTGTAACCTATAAGTGCTCCGTTCTTCTTCTACTCAAACCTGGGTCTGAAGAATCTCAGCACAGTGCACGAACTCTGTTACACCAGCAAGGATCCTGAACATTGAATTTAAAAATATGAGACATAAAAACTAAACCTTTCTTTTGTAATGGTGGGAAATTTGATTAATTAAGGGCGTAGTCAAATAAACGTGTAACAATTCAATCCCGGCACTTCCCAACTGCAGGATACTTCATAACCGTAGGGGATAGGGGGGCAATAAGACCATACGGTGAACAGGGATGCTTATCCTTGAGGTGTTAATCATGCAGACTACAGTCCTGCAGTGAGCAAACTAAAACAGTTACGATTTTCCACCCTGCTGTACCGATCCATCAGGACCTTAGACCCCGCGGCATTCTTAAGCTGACTACAGTCCTGCAGTGAGCAAACTAAAACAGTTACGATTTTCCACCCTGCTGTACCGATCCATCAGGACCTTAGCCCCCGCGGCATTCTTAAGCTGACTACAGTCCTGCAGTGAGCAAACTAAAACAGTTACGATTTTCCACCCTGCTGTACCGATCGATCAGGACCTTAGCCCCCGCGGCATTCTTAAGCTGACTACAGTGTAATCCACTGTCTTCCTCCAGCCGTATTTAAGTTAGTTACACATCCGTGCAGGACAGCGCCAGAAGATTCTTGACTGCCTTCTGTCATGGCATGGAGGGGGTGTCAACACACGAACTGATACACGCAGTTGCGGTTGGAAGATTATGGAGAGGCATGAACGCCCACGCCTGTTGACAAGGCACTTGATGATGATGATGATGATGACGACAAAAACTCTGCAGGACTTTGCAAACCAGTTGCAGCCTTTATTTATTGGCTGATTTTTTTTATTTTTTTTTATGGATCTTTTCTAGACAATTCTACCCCTTATTGGTTCCAATCATGTTGCAGCTTCTTCTTCTATGTTCTCCCGTAAAAGGGTGGTGGCACATTGTGTTGTAGTTTACTGCTTGGCTGTGATATTTGTTCCTTTTTGCCCAAAACATCAGATTTCAGCAAACTCTTAGACGCTTCTTACGACACGTCTGTTAAGGAAAATAGGTCCAGGACTTACATATGGATTGTTGCAGCGATTACTGTAAGATCCCAAAGACTGAGGTATTGAAAAGAGCAGGTATCACAACAGTTTTCTCAGTGCTAGAGCTCTGAAGGCTCGAACACGCTTGGAGAATGAAGGGTGGTAGAGTCTTAAGACAACCTTTATGGGGAAATTACAGATGGGTTGAACGAGTCAATGCTGGCCTCTACTATGTAATAAGAAGAAGAAATCCACAGGGGAGCATGTACAGCAGGAGTCTACCGATCATCAGTAGAAGATCACTCGTGGACAATTGTTTCGGCTCATTAACTCCTAGACAACTTCAGAGGGTGGGCCGACCTAGGTCATGACTCCCAGGCCTCGATCTTCTCCTGCTGCACTTGACCGGATGTTTTCGGACAGGGACAAGACGA